TGCTTTCGCATGCTGCGCGCTTCTGATGATAATAATGATGATGATTGTGAGAAATATTTGCACACACACAACTTGCATCATAATTAGAAGCTACGCTCTGGTCAAAGCAAAGCAAAAAGTTATACACCAGCTGAACAAAAGTTATGTGTACTTGTCCGTTAAAAGTTGTTAACTTTATTTGCTGCATAACGTTATGGCAGCCATACAAACTGCATACAAAACTATGCAAACACCGCAGGTGGGAGGCGATGTGGGGACCAAAAAATGTCGGCGTTTCTAATTATAAGTAAATACTCCTATACATGCATATTAGCAAGCACTTCGAGTGTGTGTGTATATGTGTGTGTGTGTGTGTGTGCGAGTGTGTGTGTGTGTGTGTGTGTGTGAGTATGTGTGTTAGTAAACATTTTAAAAGTTTTGTGCACATTCCGTTGGAGAAGGGAAGGCTGTCCCTGTTAGGTAGTCCGTAATGCATGCGAATAGTGTGAGAAAGTCCATTAGGGTCACTGACGACTTGGACGATACTCGACTGGGGCGTTGCAAAGGGGCGTGGCTGGGAAGCTGCCACAGTTGCTTGGCGCCGTGGCAATGGCAACCACTTTCGCTCTCGACTTGCAACACTTTGTGGCCGTGGCGAGCCGTTTGTGTGTGTGTGTGTGTGTGTGTTGTGCTGTGTATGTTTGCCATAATGTACAATTTAAATGTAAACAATTGGCCCCAATGTGCCGCAGCGTGGCACAAAAAATGTAACAGGACAAAAGCAGCTGTATAAAATATTTAAAAGGCTGCAGCAGCAGCAGCAGCAGAAAAAACAGCATATGGCAGACGAAGCAGCTGTGAATAGTGAATAGTGAATAGTGAAACTCAAATATTTATCTTGGCAATTGCCTCTAATTTAGTTCAAAGTTGCTGGTGCTCTAAATAAACTTTTCATTAGCTGACTCACTCACTCACACATACACACACAGCCCACATACACAAACACACTCGAAATGATAAGTTGTGCTAATTTTATTTAATTAACTTTCTTGTTGCACTTGTAATTGACATTTGTGTGCGTTAGCAAATGTTTCAATCAAACTTCAACCATATCAAAAGCCAGAAGCTAGTAAATAACCACTGACACAAACACAGTCATAACTCAAACTTTACAATAAATTTTTGCAGTGATTGCTGTGATTCTATATATTTTTCACACAAAATATGTAAATTTCCTTTTAATCTCAAGGATTTCACTGGGTTCATCACAACAATGACATAGAAATAATATTATTTAGAGCCTGAAAGGATGTGTTCAATAAGGTTTAATTATATGCGCTTAAAACTCTGTGTGATCTTTTAAATGTGCAACAAGCAGATATTCGTAAAAGACAAAACCGCAACCGCAACAAACAAAAACCACAGCGCTGGCAATGTGGCGCGTAAACTTCAACCACCTAGCGCCCAACCCACAAGCCCAAACTTTTACAAAAAAAAAAATACAAAAAAAAAATGAAAAATCAATTGAAAATTGTGCAATAAAACAATTTGATGAAATTCAAAATAACTAAAACAAGGCATAGAAATTCGCTGCTATTGAATGGTTGCCAAGTTTTGTTTTTCCCTCTAGCGCTCTGGCATTTATTTGTATTACTCGTTGTTGTATATGTTGCTCTTGTTGTTATTGTTCCTGCTGCTGCTGCTGCTGCTGCTGCTGCTATTATTGTTGTTTACATTGCGTGCTAGATTTGGCACGCTGCCGTTTATATCTAGTTTGTTTAGCGACACGTTTTGTGGACACTATATTAAAAACATTCATATGTATTTATTTTTATTTATTTATTCTTAAAGTTCATTAAACTCTTGGGCCAACTGCACACAAACATTTAAATTAATATAATAAAGCTGCATTATTTAGTTTACGGCAAATTCCATTTCCAAGCAAATATTATGATTTTAAAGCGTTCAAATTCCACAGAAAATGCTCCTCGGTTCTACCGCCTGTTGCCTGCATAATTAATGTAATGTCTTGGGGCACGCAACGTGGTTTCTGCTTGGGTTGAGGGCGTGAAGATTGAGGACTAGGCAAATGTTGCACAAAATGTTTGCTACGCCCTTTTACGACTGCTGTTTTATGCATGCAAAGCCTCATGCTGCGTATGCGTAATATCTGCACAAGGCATGTTAAATTTTCGACTTTAGACATCGACTCAGCGAGCTTACAACGGCTGCTAAAAACGTGAGCAACTGCAGAAACAAGTCCCGGCAAACATATTCATGAAAATATAACCCAGCATAGATAATATTTAACTTTCATAATATTTTACTTTTAAAATGTAAGAGCAAAGTAAGAGCTATAACTCGTGCGTAATAAGTGAGTAATATCCAACTAGAAGTCATATTAGTACATATACGCATTCAATGTTTACTCCTATAACAGTTTGAAACTTTGAAATTTGCGCAGGGAAACTTTTTTACTCATTACGGACATTATTTTTAGTTCAGTTACCTTGGCCCCATAAATTGGATTTCGTTTCGTTAGGCACTTTTGTGCTGTCAATTTGTACTTAAACATTTTTAAGCCCATACACATTAAAAATTAGTAAAATTGTATATTGCTGGAGTTTGGAAATTGATGTTATTTATTTATAGCTTGCTCGCATATATCTTCTTTTATTTTCGAATTAATAACAAAAAGTTCCGTTAACATTTCCAATGATATTGACTTAATTAGAATTAGAAAACAGCCATAAGCTCTTAGCACTCTCAACACACGCCCCGATGTTTATTAATTGATCCATGTTGAGAGCCTGTCAAATGCGCTGATGCTTAAATAATGAACCTCCAAGTATCTTCGACAAGCTGTAAAAATTCCAATTGGGAGAACGCATCCCCGCCCCCCACCCCACGCCCACGCTACTTGCCGACACTTTGTGTTAAGTAATTTACATGCAGCCAAAAATAGGCGCAAATAATGCGATGTGTCAAAACAAAACATCAAAATGAACTGAGCACTGGGAACTGGGAACGCGGCTGGGGTGCAGGTAGAACTCAAAACTCATGAGAATAGGGGATAGATAGAGACAGAGAGAGAGAGAGAGAGAGAGATAGAGACAGAGTGTGGGTGAGTGGAAGAGAGAGCAACTATTTTGGATGCGAAACAGACATCAAAGTCGTCGTCATCGTCCCCCTGGGCTGCCAATAAGAGAATTAAACGAATGCATAAATCATTAAAATGAGCAGACGATTGCAGCCAACAGCAAGAACTGGGCATATGCCACAGTCCAATTATAAATAGAACTTCTCGAGGCAACTGAAGGGTGCACGTGCGCCATAAAGCTGCGGCTGCTGGACAACTTCAAAGCTATTACACAAGGTATTTAATTAGACGTTGCAACAGGCAGAATCAGCGACAACTAAGCATATACATATAAACTAGCTCCTTGCCCCCGAACTGTATTTGTATTTGCAGAGTCACCCAGCCAGCCAGCGAGCCATTCATAAGGATTTACGACTAGGTGTCGCCTATGGCTCTGTATCGCACTTTTGCTCAGTTTGCCGCAAGCCAAAGCGTTGACAAATTGCAGCCGCCGCAGTCGCTGTTCGCTGTTGGTGTCGGCGAGCTAAAGCGGAAGCTGTGTCGCCGCCATGTTTGCCATTTTGCTCAAGCTGTCAGCGAATGCGCCTGCCGGAAAGTATGCAGAGCAATATAACAAATGGCGTGTGGCTTTGCGGCTCTGCGGCACCCCGACTTTCCCTCTCCCCCTCTCACTTTCTCTCTCTCTCTCTCTGTTCTTCGCCAGCTGCGTTGCGGGTACCATGCTTCAATAATTTCCTAATACGCATACGTTCAGCGCTCAGAATGCATGCATAAAACTGTGGCCTGCGCTACGCTAATCCTTTGCTTGTGCAGGTAATGCTATAGTTGAGTACGTGGTTCGGGCAGATTTGCACTCCACTTTTCGCAAAGCTGCTTGAAAACATTTGAGCATTAAAGTGCTGGAGCGACAAATAACCAAACAACAGCATTGAAAAAACGCGTGAGAAAAATGTTTGCAAAATGCGTCGAATTTTGATGTTATTGTGTTGCTGCTGTTGATGTTGTCGCTGTGGGTGAAGATGACATTTTTGCTTTGTTGTCCTGCTAAATCCTTAATGTGAAAAGCATTTTCTCACTTTCTCCCGGTGTTAAGTGGATTATGTGGGTTTTACACAACAAAAATGCATTATGCTTGCAATAATTTTTCATAATTTGTGCAAAATTTTCAAGCGCTGCTTTAACTATAGTTTGCAGCTCTTGAATCACACCTGAAGCTGCAGCGGGTATAGATATTGAGCATCAATATATCTCAATACTTATACAAAGAAAATGTCGCCAGGCGGGTGGAAACAATGTCAAGAATTTTACAGTTTACCCTGACGAATAAAATAACACAAAACACGAACCCAAAATTCGAGGTAAGCCACTCTAGCATGAACCGAAATATTTTGCCAGGATATATAAATATTTTTGAGTATATGTATAAATATATTTATACACATATATATACATACATACATATATATATATTTTTTTTGAGAGCCAAAATAACAAACTCGAACAAGCAGAAGCAATAAGGACAACGTCGATGTCGACAACCGGCAAACGGAAGAGTCGAGCAGGCAATGAACTAAGTCTGAGAATGGAGGGGTGGAGTTGTTTTGGCGTTGCTCGATCCCACATTCCTGCTGGTCCTCCTCATCTTTTGGTCCTCCTCATGCCATGTGTTGGCCTCGTTTTGTGTCTGTCGCTCGCGAAACGCAAGCGGAAGCGTTGTGTTAAAATAACAAACAATCAGCCGCATCATACAGGATGTGCAAATAAGAATAAATATATATTTTTATCAGTGGCAATGCCAACGCCAGCTTCCTACCTGACAACTTCAATTGGTTTCTCCTGCACCCGACCTCGACTCTCTGCTCTGGTTCCTGTGGCGTCAACTTTCATGTTTTACTAATACAAACGTCAACTTTTATTGCAGTACCCGCACGCTTGGTTTGGGCCGCACCCGGCAAGACCGTGGATCTGCCCTGCGACTTGACGCCGCCCACGCCGCAGGACTCGGTAAAATTGCTGCTTTGGTTCAAGGACACCACCGGCATACCGCTGTACAGGTAAGTTGCAATTCTGCTGTGCACAACGCAAATCAATTTCAAAGGCTGGCCAAACTATTTAGTTGGTAAACGAAAAAAAAGAAGCAGAACACCGTCAGCTAAGTGATGCTTCTAGCTGCTGCTGACTGGCGGAAATGTTGCCCAAGTGGCCAACACTCACACACACACATGCACTAATACACACCAACAAATACACACGTACGTGAACACATCCTGCATGCGAATGCCATCCATCAAAAACGTGAAGTAATCGTCAACATCCTTTGCTGCCATCACACTTGGCGCATTTTTCACATTTTTTCCTGCCATTTTGTGTACATTTTTTTATTTCTTTGTGTTTTCGCCTGGAAGCCTGGCACGGTTGATTTTTTTTTTTTTGCGACGCCTTTTTTACGCAGGACTCCGGAAGAAGTGTTTTGTGTAAGCGCGTCTGTATGTGTTTGTGAGTGTGTGTGTGTGTGTGGGGGGCAAGGATGCGCCCGTCCATGCCGTCATAATCCACTTTGTTATAATAAATGTAAAGCACATCCGATTACAGTTGCCATCGCTAAAGTGTAGCAAATTTTCACGCACATACGCATCGGACACGCCTCCTTCCGACACACACACACACATACGAAGAGACACCTCTCCATGCCCCTTAGCCAGCAGTTTTGCTTTTACAAAAATTTCAGTTGATAAATTTTCAATGTGTTCTGCTCGCATTTAAAGTGGAACAGCCACGTGGATTGCGTGCAACAGCAGCAGCAACAACTATCAGACACATTCAGGTGAACTGGCCACCAGTCGATAATCATAAACAACAACTGCAACACAGTAACAGCCAGCAATCCAACTTCAGAATGTCGAGTGTTGTACACGAAATAAACAGAGTAATTTGCTAAAACAGCAACAAATTGCTGCAATTTGCGCAAAGCTGCCAAAGCTGCCAAAGTCGCGACGTGGCACGCAGCAACAGCAACAGCAGCAAAACAACAGCAAACGCAACAACAAATTCAGAGAAAGAGAGAGGGAGAGAGAGAGAGGAAAAGAAAGGGAGACGAGGGGAGAGGCAAATACACTCGTGCAAATTAAGCGTCATTTTTTATGGCAGTAAATTATGGTAGCAGTAGGACAAACCTGGTCGCCAGGGCACAACTAATGGCCATGAGAGATGCTTGCATATGTTTATTTATGATGTATAATAAGCGCCATACGAACAGCCACGCCCACACACTAAATTCACACTTAACCATTCGTTTGTGCTGTGCTTGTACATTTTGCAGTTTGGACTCGCGCGGGGGCAATGTGAAGCTGGCGCCACATGCGGCCATAGCTAGCGATCTGGGTCAGCGTTTGTTCTTTAGCATTGGCGACAATCCCAAGGATTCTCGACTGCAAATCAAAGATGTGAAGCCAGAGGATGGCGGCGTTTACCGCTGCCGCATTGACTTTTTCAACTCGCCCACCCGTAATTTTAGGCATAACTTAACACTAGTTGGTGAGTTTAACTTAACATAAACCAAGTAGAAATTTTTTAATAATTGATTGCTTTATTAAAACACCCATTTACAATTTTAAAACCTGCAAAACATTGCCTAGCTAATAGCATTAATTAATATCCAATATGATTTTGCAGTTGTTCCCGAGGAGCCACGCATCTTTGATGCCCAGGGCAAGGAAATCTCCCAATTGGCTGGTCCATTTCGCGAGGGCTACGAGCTCTTTCTCTGCTGTCAAGTGCGGGGCGGTAAGTGCAAAAACCAATTTGCAGCCAACTCTTTTTTCCAAGTGCTTGTGATGGCCCAGTCAGGCTGTCAGGAAGTGGTCAATGCAGCGTTTTATTTAAGCTTGCCAGGCAAACCTGTCAATTGGATGCCGAACGAGGGTCGCCTGATAAGTCATTGGCTTAATTAAGAAAACTGCAATTTCAGTTTTCCTTTTACATGTGATCTTTAACAATTTTATTATAATAATTAAATAACAAGTGTTTTATGATCCAAAAAGAAGTAGCATTTTCTTACTTAAGTCCATGCCTTTTCAGCCGCTACTCGTATTATGGCTGGATTGTCATGAAATACGCCCAACAGACAAATATTGCGATGGTTGGCTTGAATACAGTGCGGCAACAATTGACAGCATTTACTCATAATATAATGCACATTCTGCTCCGTTTCAGGTCGACCACCACCGAAGGTTACCTGGTGGCGAGATGGCCACGAAATGATCGGCACCAGTCACACCTCAGTCGAGGAGGGTGCCACAGTGATGGTGAATCAACTGCTCATTGGGACCACGACGCGGGACTATTACGGAGCACGCATCGAGTGCCGGGCACAGGGCACACGTCTCCTCGAGCCAGTCACCAAAGATGTCACCGTTCAGGTGCACTGTAAGCCATACTAAAATCCAACTATAACAACTATCTGCTTAATATTCATGTGTGTGTGTGTGTTTTATTAATAGTGAAACCTGTACGTGTGAAGATTATAACACCTAATGATTTGCTCACTGCCGGCCATCCGATTGCCATCAGGTGCGAATCGTGGGGCTCGTATCCGGCGGCCAAGATTAGCTGGCTGCTTGATGGCGAGCCCATACGCAACGCTGAAGTCACCGTCCACAACGACAAGGAGGTAAGCGCGCTCCCATATCAAGTATCGATGACTAGCTTCACAAATTGCTTAACAAAATTTGGACAGGTCCATAGAAAATAGTAGCAAGCATCAAAGCAAGCATTTTGCCGCTGTGTTCGCATATCTGCTCATTAAAGGCATTTTAACTTTTGCCAGCAAATTTTCTTTCACGTTTGACATTTGATAGCTAACACACACACACGCACACACACACAAGTTGTGAGAAGTTTGAGGAACTTTGCGTCGTTTAATAACTCTCTGCAGTGCAACTACAACAGCAATGCCGACCACTGGGTGACCCTCAAAGATGATGTGAGTCCAGGGTAAAAGTTTTGCAGCTGCAGTGCCCAAAAGCTGCAGACAAGTTGACTTCAAGTGGCAGTCCGCCTGGCTGGCTGCCACACATTACAGCAGCACTACTGCCCGCAACACCCTGCTCTGCTCTTGATTCATCCACTTACTGGTCTTCTTTGATGAAGTGCACTGCCGAAAAACTTTCGAACAGGCTAAACAAATTTGCAGTCGACGAACGAGGATGACATTTGCCCAGACTATACTCAAGTAGTGTGCGAATTTTTATTTAAATTTATGTAGACGACTGTTCTCGCTTTTGTTTAGTGCCCATCGCTATTTTTAGTATTATTTTAAATAATTTTTTTTTCTTGCTTGCAACTCAACTTCATTTGAATGAGCAGATATACGACCGCTCAGTGTAAAGACAGCTCGGCTTTCGGCATCCATTAGTTATCCGTTTTTGCCTTTGCCAGTTGCCATTTTCGCTTTCTAATTATGCCATGAAAATGGATAAAGACAGGAGCTGGAGCTGTAGCTGCTAGCTGTAGCTACTAGCTGGAGTTCACGTTCACTCTGAGCAGGTTGGGTTGCCCCAAAAGCCAAAACGTCGACTGGCATTAGGCAACTCGTGCATAACCGATTCCTGCTACAGAGTTCACATCGTACATGTGTGTATGTATATCGAGTGTCGGTTAGTTTCTGTGTGTTGCAGCATTCACTTATTATACACGCACACACCCACACATGTGGCACATGTCCTCAGTTCGATTGTTGCCAAATCTGTAATGGGCAGCGGGCACTCTGCCCTGAACTTGAGCATGAGCTTCGTTGCTGTCGTAACCCAACACTCTGTGTTCAACGAATAACACTCAACTGCTAAGAATGAGTCTCATTATACGGCCAGCTCGTGCAGCAAAATGCCATTTGAATCTTTCCAGAATAGGGTATTTAACTTTCCAAAGTAACCTTGTTGCCTTTAGATTTTTGAATTGGTTTTTATGCAGCAAATCAAAATAAATATGTGGCCATATATCATTGCAGGATGCCAACATCACAACGAGTATATTGACGGTGAAGGTAACATCGGAGAACGACAATGCAGAGTTGACATGTCGCGCAACGAATCCTTGGTTCTCCGGCGGCGCCATCGAGGACAAGCGTATTATACGTGTGGCATGTAAGTAGTTGCAACAGAAACATAAACTAGTACAAGAGATAACGAGTATCTTTGACAAGTCGAATATAACATACCCTCGCATAGCACTTGATATCTAAATTATAGTGTAATTTAAGCAGTCCAAAATGTATATTTTATTGTTTAAATAGGTTTATCTACTAGAACTCACCATTCAGCCGATTGCTCTCAAGTGATTTATATGTAAATTCGACCAACTCCGATAGACTTAAAAATATGGATGTATCCCAGTTTCATTAAGATAGCTTTAAAATACATTTAGTTCTACTCAGATGAGGACACAGACATGGCTATATCGGCTCGGCTAAGTCTTTATGAGTTACATGCTTCACGATAAAAGGATGGTACCCCACTCAAGGATATAAAAAGGAAAGGACATATGACAGTCAGTCAGTCAGGTTTCACAGCTCGCTGCTTTCATCCCAGCTGTTTGAACTACGAAATGAACTCTTGGCTATACTTTCAATTATGTCAACAATGCGAAACCAACAAACACGCTCACACACTCAATATATATATATGTGTGTGTGTGTGTGTGTGTGTGTATTGGTATGCGGTGTAGCTGTAGTCGCTGAAATCTCTTGCCACTGAGGCAAGTCCAATTAGAAGCGTATTAGGGCCACAGCAACATAATTTGATTAGGGATGCCAGAACCTTGCAACCCTCTAGGCCATATCCACCTGTTGCTGGATGGATGCTGTTGCTCCTCGTACTTAAGCTGCTTATGAAATGCAGTCATGTTGCCATCATCATTCCGATCATCGTCATCATCGTCGTAGTCGTTGTCGTTGCCGTTGTTTGGCCTTTTGCATTGCCTTCGACTTGGCTTGATTAAATTTTCACTGTTATGTTTCCGGTACTCATTTTTCGCCTAGCCACCATTATATTTGCAACATCCGCTTCCGACTTCCGTTTCACATTACTCTTGCCTGCCATAAGCGCAACCAACAATAAAAACAACAAGAACAACATAAAGGGAACTCAACAGCAACAGCAACAGCAGCAAATTAAATTACCTGCACTCAGTGCGAACCCAGGCCAATCTCTTGCTGCGACATCAGACTTCATTTCAGTTTAATTTTGTGCGGCATTTTTAATAATTCACCATAAAAGTCAGGCAGACATTTTTTTTTTTGTTTTTTTTTTTGCAACCTCATGTCTTGTAGTTTTGTCCACCCGCACCCAAGATGACGGTCGCTGGCGCCAGTCTCGGTCGCGTATTAGATTTTTACAACCGTAACTAATAGTCCCATTTGGCTTATGGCCATAGAGGAGGCCGTCTACCACAATGCCGCGTTAAGGATGTGCAGTCAAGCGACCATCGCCAAAGAAAAGCCCTTTCGTGGCCATACCCTCTGTGCGTGGACATCCAACTGACCTGACCATACACTCAGCAAAATAATTGCCTCGAAAATCAAAATATAATTTTTCTAATGACGCCATAAGGCACTTGACCTGATTTTCCAGAAAGTGAGTTTCGGAAACAAACGGTTGAGCCTTTGTAAAACCAAAATTTTTCCATTTCATAATTGCAAAGTAAATTCTTTTCAAATAGTTTCTTAGAACAAACTTAATTTGTTTGGGATTGTTGATAAGATCGCTAATATTTTCAATTTTGAGCAGCTGGTTTCGTAATCTTAAAATAGATTTCAGTTAAATTTGTCACTTTTTGGGGTTAGTTTTTTCTGAGTGTAAACAGTAGTAGTAGCAGCTTGAGCTAAGTACATTACGAAATAGGGGCTAGAGCTCACCTTATGAGCCATTTGCGTTTATTATTTGGACTTTTATCCGGCTATTTGCAGCGCTCATTAGATTTGACGCCCGCACTTACTTATCCACTGCTCTTGCCATTATTTTCTCTATTTTTCTATATTCCCAAACAGATCCGCCTACCGTGTCGGTGCACTTGGCCAATGAGGATCCCAGCCGTATGGTAACACGTGCCGAGGGCCAAAATGTCACGTTCAAATGCCGTGCGGATGCGAGACCACCGGTCACCAGTTACTCCTGGTTCAAGAACGTAAGTATGCCAACAGATTTTCATCAATTTAACCACCATTTCCCTGCCTCTATCTCTCATTGAAACTACCCTTGACGAGGGCACAACCGCTGACGCCTATCAAAACAGCAGACACTTTGGCAATTTTTATTATCAATTGCATAGCTTCTGCTGTCTCTTGCCTCCGAGTCTCGTACGGCTCCTCCTGGCTGGCGAGCCCCATCTGGCTGTCGACATTCCTGCGGCAACTTAAGCAGACACTTTGCGGTTTAATTTAATTTACCAAAATTGTTTTCTGCAGCCGAAAATTTCAAGCGCTGTGGGCACCCAACTGCCACTAATAAGATGCCAGGCGCAATATGTGTGGCGTATTCGGTTTACATGCACTCCCCACGTTTGTGGGCGTATTGTTGATCCATTTCTCAAATGGGGGCACATCCCATAACATAATTGCTCATGATGGCTTTGATTGAAGTCAGCTTTGTATTGAAAATTATTTAAACATTAATCATGCGACAAATAAGCCAGAGATTGACCAAATACGCTCATTCGGACTTAAACCAACTGCCGCCTTTCATTCCATTCATGATCGCATCAAAGCCACAAAGTTCGACCGCCATTGTTCGGAGTCCGAGTCAGTTTATTGTGTTGCTGTTGTTGCCATTAAGCTAAACGGGCGGCATTTTGACAACCTTTGACAGTTTTGTTCATACATGGGCACATCATCATTTTTCATGGCCCACACACACACACACACACACACACACACAGTGGCATAAAATCACATATCTTGGCTCTCATTATTATATTCGTCTCTTTCGAGTGTGTGCCTTAACTTTTCGCTTTAACAAATTATCTCAGACCATTGTGGCAAAAAAAAAAAAAACTTTTTAATATTAAGGCATTTCGTCTTTCGCTTTTTCCGGTTTGCCTTTTGTAAGCAAAAAATGAGAATCGACAATTTTGTGAAAAACGATGCTCCAAATATGCACAAGGAAAAATAAGAAACTTACTGGTAAAAAGCAGCAAAGAGTAAACAAACTTTGTCACTTTTTCGGTTGTCAGTTTGTTTTAGTTTTCCTTTATCAGCAGCCTTTTTTTTTAGTTTTTTTAACCCCAGAACTTTTCGGCCAAGTCAGGTTTAAATTTTTCGCGACAACGAGTAAACAAAATGGAAATGGTATAATATTATTTAAGTTTGTTGCTTTGTAGAAAACTTAATAAAATACATTACAAAACCTATTTGCAATTATCTTTATCTCTTAATCGACTTAATTTCATTAATTTTTTCCCGTTATGCTAATTAACATGTTACAAAAAATTATATTAAATTTGCTAAAAAATCTACATCTGAAATAGGAGGGGCCGATTTCCTAGTTTATTTAAAAACTATTTTTAAATCATTTCTGACAATTAAAATGAAAGCTGATTAACTCAAAAAATGACATATCAATAAGTAAGCAAATTGTTGACAGGGCGGATTGAAACAAAAAAAAAAAAACAGAACAAAAAAAATTAATTATACTTAACTCTTTTGGTAGAGAAAATGCCAACGAATTCTGTTTATTTTATGCATATAGTTGCACACATTTATGAAACCATTTCATACTAATTATTCATTTGAATAAATACGCAACTTAAAGCTGCTTCAATTATGTTTTCATTGTTGCATTTATTCAATTTAAATTTTGACAGCTGCACAAAATTCACTCTATATATGTTGAGCCCAACAAATTATGAAAAATTAATTCGAAAATGTATTTATGTTGCAGGCAGGCCCCTCTCCAATGACATTAATTGAGCGGGCATAGCAAATGTCTGTGTATGCCACAACTCATAAAATACATCACAATACAAATATTCATAAATGTATACAATTTAATACAGCCAATGACAACGCACGAGTGTCATTTAATTCGATTTTGAATAGAAAACCATATTTTCATTCAAAGCTCTTTGTGGAATTTAAATAACAAAATTCGCTGTGGCCTCTAATGATATACTAGAAGCGAACTTGGCTGTCGTTCTTGGTGCTGAGTTAAAAAGAATCGACTGTTTATTTTATAACATTCAATTTAAATGCAATGCAATTCCATTAATTATGATTTATGCATTCTTCAAATATGCAAGCCTGCAAATACTAATTTATGTGGAAACTGGAAACTGGTTTCTGCTGGATGATAAATTAAAATATATATATATATATATTAGTTGCGTTTTCTAAAGGTGTTCACAATTTGCCCCTAACTATTTCTCAGACTTGAAATTGTCTTAAATTACTCAAAATATATTTCAATTGCAGACGAAGAATATTATTGGGCAATAATTTGTGTAATAGTTGTCATATATATGCAATTTAAAGCAGCCATGATCTTCGACTGAGCTTAAAATTTAAACGCACCATTTGATGAATGTAAGAATGTATTTTTTATAATACTTCAAGAAAATATTTCTCATGACTAGACTTGAGTAAAAGCTAACACAACAAATAGGTATACATGTAGTTAATACATATGTGTTCCCATGGTTATAACAAATACAATATTCGCGTGAGCTGACCCACAAGCGATTGCATAAGCTACTAGTATAGCCAAGTCCTTGACAGGGACTGTTTACATTTTGCAGATGCACTGAAGGCATGTTCATAACGTTTTGTTCCTAACCTATGTACATTTGTATTGTATTATGTTTTGCAGGGCATGCGTATGTCTGGCGAGAGCACGGAAATCATGCACCTGACACAACTGGAGCGGGAGAGTGCGGGCGCATATGCCTGCGGGGCGACCAACACGGAGGGGGAGACGCGGAGCTCAAGCCTCACTCTGAAAGTACAGTGTAAGTAAGAAGCTTTGCAGCTGGCAATGCTGATGTATTTTAGTTGCACTGGTTGCAATGGCTGCATACAAGCGATATGGCGAAACGGAAAAGGAAATGGAAGCTGACAAAAAAAAAAAAAATCAACTCGCTGCAACTCGCTGTCCATGGCAACAAAAAGAATGAAATTAAAGCTAGCAACTTGCACAACGGATGGCGAAATTGCTTAGAAATGATGCAAAGCCCAATTGTTTGTGCTTGCATATGTATATGTGTGTATGTGTGAGTGGGTAAGTGAGATAGAGATAGAGAGAGAGAGAGAGCGAGAGAGTTCGTGCCAGCTTGTTTACAATTGTAAAATTGTTTTTGCCCCCAGTCTAAATAACCGCCATTGATTTACACACTAAACTTTTGGCTATAAATTTAACTGGGGCAATTTTTGCTCTGCCAACTTTTTCATAAACCTCACGCACTGCCTTTAGGGGATTGGGGAGCAGCAGCCGCCAGCTATTTTTTATCGTGTGATTAATGTGCACTGCACAAGCAACAATTGAGCTATATAAATCAGTTGATCTATGTGGATCCAAAGTGTTCATCAAGTGGAGCTCAAATGAAGCTTGTCCTGTGCCGACACATGTCGCAAACTGAAATCATTTCGGGCACCTTGATAGTTTAAACTCCAACTTTAAATAATCTTGCAAAAATTGTAAGTATTTATAAAGAAAGGAAGATGAACTAAGTCTACCTGTTCAGTTCAGCTCGAACTACATTCACGCGTATATATGTATAATAGGAGAAACCAACATTGGTTTAACCAATGCCAGTTTATAAAGTAACTTCGTTGAAAGTTGAGCTGATAAACAGAGTAAAGCTCTTAAGCTCTATCGTGTCACAAAGCTAAAAATACAGAACGAATTTATTAAAAATGCAACTCAAATTTATCTGGTTTTCTCTTATTCTCAGAAGTCACAGAAAGTGTGCGTACCTTGTTAGTGTTCTGCTGTATTTATTATTTAGAGACAACACACAAGTACAAGATAAATACATAAATCTATATATGTATGTATTTCTTTGCCACACGCAATCCTCGTACAGGACGGAAATCTATAAAAGGAAACAGATTCATTTTTCAGTGTTCAAAAAGTCGGAAAATGTTGTTGTGTCGTGCGACAGTTAAAGTAGTTTATACTTCGAATTATGAAGGTTTCAACTCTGACTGGCGACCATAACTCTCAGCACTTACTTGTGGCTTACTTTTGTTCAACTTACTCACACACATGCAACAAGTACATGGACACACACACACACACATGCATACTCAGAGAGTAAGTCGTTTTAAGCATATTGTGCTGAGTTTCAGTTGACTTGTGATAACAGCGTCAAGTAATAAAGCCTAACATACTTATCAGCCTTGGCGTGACTTACATTTTAAAGGCAGCTTTCAGCGGCAAACTCTCTGCAGCAAATACAGACTCACACACACACATACATCTATAGTGCACGCTTGGTTATTCATATATGTGTGCGTTGTATTCATATGAGAGACAGACTTGCCCCGGGGGCTAGATTGCTGCTTCCGTATATATTTGGTCTCATTTTACAGTCAAGTGAAAGTAAACTCAACAACATCTTTTTCAATACCTGCAACTCACAGACTCATTCGCACACATCCACACACACACACACACACATACTTATTCAAACTGCTTTATCCGCTTTTAAACATAAAGAGAGCCAACAACAGCGGCAGCCACGTTCATGAAACGGAAACATGTTAATTACTATGCTCAAGGCTATGTAGCTGGCTCGACTTCCTCTTGGATTTAGCCCTCTCGTTTTTTCCTTCTTATTTTTATATTTTTGTGTACTTTCCTTCAGTGGTGCTAAACTCCAGAGACGTGCTGACTGTTTACATTTTGTGGAGATGTGTTCTCCCATATTCGAGAGCTGAAAGCAACAAGAAAAAAAAATTGAAAAAAAAACCAAATTTTTACGGCTTAACGACTCTTTCTTTGACATGCCCCGCGCGACTTTAATTTTCTTCTTTCCTTTTTTCCTCCGCTTTACAGTCTCGCCACGTTGTAAGCCGGGTACCGAACAGACATCCATTGGAGCCATCAACATGCACTCGATACAAGTCAGATGCGAGGTGGACGCCGATCCGCCAGAAACTGTCCGATTTAGCTGGACCTACAACAATACACGAAATGTGTCCCCGGTAAGTTTAAGCCACGCAGATATCTTCCTCTTTTGTCTTTCAAAAACTTGACTAAACTCGAACGAACTGTGATTACTGCAAACGTGATTCAACTATGCGTATTGTGGGCAGAGCTTGGCAGAAATTGTTGGTTGGCAAGCTGGAAAGCTGAAAACTTGGAACCCGAAGGTGGTCGGCTATTAGGAAAACTTGTGTTAAATACTTGGTAACTGGGTAGCTGGCAAGCACTCTCGCTTAACAATGGCAGCCTGACGAACAGAAGCCAAACGGGAATCTGACACAGGCCACATTGTACGTGACTGAATTAAAATTTAATCAAAATGTATAAATTGTGCAATGGGATTGCAGAGAATAGCATGTTGGACTTGCCCCCAATGGTAACTACGGGATTCTGTGTTAAACTCGAGAATAAAATTGCAAACCTGGCAGAAAGAGAGATAGAGACAGAGAGAGAGAGAGAGAGAGGGAGATCGCATAGCCGAAAAAAATGCATATGAGATTCTACTAAGGACTGGGACAGCTGTGCACAATAAATAAAGTAATTCATTTACCGCAAAAGTTATTTGAAAATCTGCACGAAAATCCAGCGAGCCAAAGCCAGAGTAGTCCCTTCTGGACCTTAAAACCTGAACTCAACTTGGCTCAACTCTCAACTCGTTTCGACTTATCCAACTGTTTGCATTGCAATAAAGACTATTTGACTTTAAATATTTATGCACGCCCAACTGTCCGACTGCCCGAAAGTCCAACTGTCTGACTGCTGCCCGGCTTCAATAATTTTTGCCTACGTTTGCAGTGCGACTCGTAATCCTTTTGCTACAACTGCTGCTGCTCTTCCTTCTCCTTGCAGGTGCTCAACTCCCGGATACAATCGAACGGACTGGCCAGCACTGTGACGTATCTGCCGCAAACCGACTCCGAGTTAATAACACTAGCTTGCTGGGCCAGCAATGCGGTCGGAAGGCAAACGTCGCCCTGTCTTGTTCACATCCTACCAGCCAGTAAGTAATGGAAATTGTTGTTATACCTCTTCGATTCTATCTTCCTTAGTCGATCCCCGACATTGTGTGCAATTTAAGTAAGACAGAAACGGCTTCAATTCGCATTGGCGTTAGTACACTCAGAAAAATATGAAACTAGACAACGAAAATCGCCATAGCTAAATACTATCAAAAAAGAAATGGAACTGAAACTTAGAATATAGTCTTACCTAAATTCTAACATAGTATTTGAGAGAGTATTTAAAAAGATTTTATTCTGAATATAAGAAAGTAAGTTTCTTAAAATTTACATTTGTAATTAAAACATTTAACAAAATATGTTTTCTTAAAAATATAAAGTATTATATTTTTGAATCGTCGATTAAGAGCAAACGTTTATAATTTAAAGATATCTATTGACATAGAAATTTATTCAAGTTCTCAGGCCAATTCGAATTTTTAGGGAAATTTTCTTAATTTATGGTTGAGTTTCCTTTTTCTACGTGTAGCGTGTGGCTGTCGATGTCGGTGTGTGAATTTATATGTTATGCACACTTCAGGATCTGCTTACATAATTGGTTACTGTGCATGCTAGTGTGTGTGTAGAGAAATTGTATGTGGTACAATTGAGGGAACAGACAGCAGGCAGCTCCTTGGCCAAATGCAAGTAGTAGCAATCATGAAAGCGGCGCGGTCTAAAACACTACTTACAACCCAATTTGTTGGCCGTTATTAATGCAAACTGGGGGCGTAGCATCGCTGCCACACCTTTATTAGCATAATGTGCCGAAAATTGGGAAATGCAAATTGCTGGCAATGCTAACTAACTACTATATCATCATGCAATTGACTACATTATGAACAGCTAACCATTCCATTCTTCGTCATCTCCCCCCTGCAGATGCACCCGAGGCGCCAAAGGCATGCGAACTGCGCAACGATACCATTCTCGAGGTGGTCTGCGTGGCCGGCAGCGATGGTGGCCTCTCCCAGTACTTTATGCTCGAGGTCGTCGGCGGCGATTTACTGTATGCTAACGAGGCAGGAGCGACAGCGGCGGGAGGCAAGGGTCAATTTGGCGAGACGATTGGCCAGGGCGACAATGAGATATCTACGCTGAATGATCAGGTGAGTTCAAACACATTTGTGACACGTGCTGTTGACCCGAGGTCTGGTTGAGCTAAAATTAACAAACGAGCGAATTCACACTGATGGACAGAGCCACGGGTTGACTCGCCCTGTAATCCATATGGTCAATTAGTGCGCTTGTTCTTTCCATCTGACTTTTTCGGTTGAATTAATAATGAATATGATTTTGAGCCAAGACTGACCAGGCCAGTCGACCAGTTGCTGCTGCTGGAGTTGGGCCACTTGGCTCGAGCGTAAAAGGGACAACATAATTAATGCTATAAGTTTACCGTTCGAGGCAAACAGTTTAACCAACTGAATGAAGGCGAGGGACGAGGGCTAAAGGGACGCTTGGCTACATCATCCATAAGCCAACGCGGCAAACACATGCTGAGTTATTAAATTATCTCTGTCACTCGTAAAAGAGAATATCATATGAAAATTTCATTTCATTTCGTTTGGTTGCTTTCAGCAACTGAGAGGGGAGCACTGAGCAGGGGACAGAGGACGGGGAGTTACGGGTATACGCAATCGGGGCCAGTTGCTTGGCTTGCTGATGAAACGCTGGCCGGGAAGAGAGTTTATTAGCAAAGTAGCCAAGCGCAAAACAACGACCGTACAGCATAGGCAGACGTTGAGAGAGGGGGCGGTTGAGACGAGGAGAGCAGAGAGGATGATGAGCTGGACATGGACTCTGACCAAACATTGGACGTTTGCAGCTTTAAAGTTTCACGCTAGATAAAAATACAGCATACTACAGCAATGGTCTTGTGGAGGGGCGTGCAAGGGGTGAGATGCTACATTGACAACAGCAGCTGGGGTACTCAGTGCAGTGGGAGTAGGTTGGCTGGATGGGGGGAGGGAGGCCCAAAGCACCGCAAGGACAACATAAATTACTTACGCTTACTTGAGTGGGAATTTGTGCGTAACCAACGAAGCTCACTCGATTGTGTCCCATTACGGCAAACGGATATTCAGTTTAAAATTTCAGACAGCGTCCTGGTCAGAACAATGTGGCATGTCCCCGCATCCATCCCCCCACCCCCACCCACCTAACTCACCAAGGCTGCTCACAATCTGAACACATTTTTAGGCATGAATAATTATTTATGTGTTGTTATGTTACAGCTGTGTGTGTGTATGTGAGTGCGTGTGCAGAAGTTTTGGGGCCCCGACAAAAAGTTGGCAACAAACAAACAGAGCATACTTTGTAGCGCGTGCAGTGCCAAACCATATGGCCAGCATATTATAATAATGCGACATGTGTCCGTCTGTAGATACAAATATATGTAGATGCGTCAACTGTCAACTGGCTATCTTTAGATCACCAGAAAGGCATACCTATACATATATGTGTGTATTGTACATACATATTTTGATTTTGTTTTTTGTTTTTCTCTCTTTTATTTTTCCAGGCAACATCTGCGCCCATCTTTCGCATGCAGGAGAACAGTCCACAATTTCGTTTGAATAATTTAGAGCCGGGACGTGAATATCAATTTTTAGTTTACGCCGTCAACGCAAAGGGACGCAGCGAGCCTCCGGTGGTGATTGAACGTGTTCGCGTGGCTGCACAACTGGGACCATATGGTGAGTACCCGTCTCTTCGACGATAGCCCAAGTAACCATATAACCAAAATAACCAAAAATACCCGAGTACCCTACACTGAGAATAAAAGTCACCGTGAAATTTAGAAAATCAGCATACCTTTGGTGCCGAGGGTAGCTCTTATCATTATTTAGAAAGAGTTGGATTGTGTCCTTCTAAAAGCCACGTTTTCATTGCATCATTTAAAGGCAGATTTGTCTTAATTTATAAGAAATCAATTACCAAGCTCCTTGGGTGTTAAAATATTCTATTTTTGTTCAATCTTTTATCCAAAATATTGATTTGAATGAGTAAGACAGATATTAAGAAGCTGTGCGACGCCATAAAGAATATTTATTCTTAATCAAGCTTAACAAGCAAGTGGATTTCACATTGGAAGTCTGTCTGACTGTATAAATTAGCAGATCTCAGAGACTATAAGAGCTGCAGATTAAAATTTGGAATGTAAGTTGTCATATGCCATGCGCAGATCAAAATTATTTTATTTTATCGATAGGTTTCCCGGGTGACTTTTTCTGAGTGTACTGCTACGACTACTTAAATCCAACAAAACAAAAGTCCCTCGCATAAAGTGTGCCCAAATGTTTGGCAATTGGCAAACAGAATTTGCCTTTGCCAGTTGCGGGTCACTTTTTGGCTATTCCAATAAAGTTTGGTCGAGTTGGGTGAATGCTGGTAGCTGGTAGCTGGTAGCTGCTAGCAGCTAGCTGCTTCCTGGTTGGCAATTGACGTTGCTGTCTAATTCAACGCTTCAGTGCATTTTCAAATCAACGCAAGTTCAAGGAAATCGTCTTCAATCAGCCGCCGCGAAAACTCTGCACATGGCCCACGCACAGGAGGCAAACCTGATGTCCTGGCTGACGGGCCGATGGCCTAGTAGGCTGCCTTGTAAGCTTGATGTTGGGGCCGCCCTTTTCTAATCCACTGACTGAATTATGCAGCGATGCGTAAAGCATTTCAGCATTTTCCATCAACGAGCGCCGTTGTGTGTGAGGCACGCATATTACGTATACGCAAGGGCGTGCCGCTTACAGCCTCTTCATTTTTCCCCCAATTCTTAACGACATAACGACAACTGTGAGTGTGTATGTGGTCACATGTGTGCCTCTGTGTGTGTGTGTGTGTGTGTGTGTGTGAGAGCGTGTGTGTCATTGGCATTGCCCTTCTTTATTTCATACTAACATCGAGCGAAGAAAGGCAGAAGCGAAATTGCTTCAATTTTCGTTTTGCTTAACGGGGCGCCGTAGACACTTTGCTTTTATTGTTCGTTTCGCATTCGTTTTCGCACTCATCCATTGCTTATATACTGCGTATACTCGTGCGTAGGCAACAACCACAACTCGTGCGTAGGCAACAACCACAACCACAACAACAACTACAATGGGAGCAGCCACGTTGTCATTATTTTCATGCTGATTTTTATTTTTATCTGCATTTCCATTACCATTTCCATTTTCATTTGCAGTGACGGCGACTGCCGCTTGGCACACTCTCTATTGGCCATATCCACTTTGCCTTAACGGTGCACAGTTTGGGCCATAAATCACATATAATATTGACCGATTTAATGCACCTAATTGTGCTTCATACGCAAATGTTCAATTAAATGCGGCTCGCCGGCGACCCCTGCTCCGTCCGGTCTGTCAGCCAGGTCAGTTCCAGTTTCAGTTTCAGATACAGCCACTGAATTTGTGAACCACTTTAGCCAGTTTCGCGCTCAGCACCTCTCCCCTCTGGCAGAAGCAGTGCGACCATTCGGCGTCGGCAGAATAACTGTGATTACCACAACGACCGTAGACAGTGCCTGCAAAAAGATCCCTTGAAGGCGGCGATACGAGTAATTTATGCGAAATTTTAACATTGAACCAACGCCGGAGCAGCTTTCATTATTTACACATTGCTTGGGATTGCTGGCTACCTCACCATGACTGTGGGTGTGTTGGTGTGTGGGTGTGTGGGAGTGTAGGTGTGTGGGTGTGTGGGTGTTGGTGTATGATATTAAATAGGCCACGAAGTGGAAGCTGAAAGGTGAATGAGAGTGTGTGAATAACGGTAAATCTGTCGACGCTTGACGATGATTTCTGTTTGCTGATTTAAATCAGCTTACGCCGAATAAAAAGAAAAATCACATCAAGCGATTTTATTCCAATTTCTTTTTGAAAAACATAATGAAAAACGGCGAGAAAGTGCCCACTTGTGTGTGTGTGTGTGTGTAGGTGGGATGAGAGCAAATAATGTTTTAAGTCAGCCATATGAAAACAAATCTGTTAGCCAGAAGCTAAAACCTTCCAAGTTGCCAAGCGATTGGCTTGGGGATAACAGTAAGATACTTATGGGCCTGGAGATACCCTTTTTGAAATGCCCTACATACCATAAAGATAGCATATTTATATCATTTATCATTTTGCCGACTTAAGCTGCATTTCTTTACATGAGGATAAAGCGAAGAAATTTATTGCAGTGATATATAAGTAAATATATATATATGAACTCGTATACCCATTTGATATTTGTGGCTACGGGGTATAACCACGACAAGGATATTGAAAAGAAACTCGTTGGCAAAGGCCAACAGCATCAATGACAGACATAACAACAAAAATTAAATTAAGCCGCAGGTGTAGGCAATTTCCAACTAAATGCTCGTTTCAAAAGCCAGCCCAGAGCAGCCAGAGCAACCACTTGGCAGTGTTTCAATACGGAGTACCTCGCAAATGGAGCGGAAATGCTGCATAGCAGCTGAGTAAAATAGGGGCGGGATACAACGAGCTGCTGCTGGGCAGGTGGGTGATTGGGAAAGTGGACGAGTTGGCGAGTGGGCGGGTTGCCTGACACAAGATGAATGTATCGCATAAATCTTGCCTGGGGATCATCTTACAAGGAGTTTTCTCTTGCAATTTCCGCTGCTTCTTCGCTTCTAGCTGAAAACCTAATAAATATAAACAATGCTCTGCACATGTTGCTAATAATTGGCAAAGCCTTTGCAACCTCGAGCAATCAGTGTCTTGATTTCGATGCCGCCGGCAGCGGAGAGCAATTAAAGTCGCGTGGAGGTCATGTGTCCTGGTCACCCAGGACAGACACAGACACAACCAATTGGCCAATTGGACTAATTTTAATTTTCAACACAATTTGATAAGCAACAACAAGAGTGGAAGAATTGGAACGGCAAATGCAAAGAAAACAGACAACAGTAAACAAACCCCATAAACAAATACGACAAAACAGTTAAAGCAATCAGTTAAGCAAAAAGCGAAACGTGAGCACACACACACACATGTGGCCAACACACAGACACACACACACATACACACCCTGAATCCCAAAATAAAACACGAAAGAAAACAAAACAAATAACGGAAAAAAATATAAAAATGGGCAAAAGAGGAGGCAAGAACTGCTTCCACAGCATCCACAATATCATACTAATTTCGAGCAAATAACAAATCATTGTGTGTCCCTCCTTTCCATCCTCCATCCCTCGCTCGAAACTATGTGATGTCTAACCTGCGTCCACTTCGCTCGCACTCTCATGCCCTGTGTATTATCTTACAGATGAATCCATACTCTCGGAGGATCCGACGCCCGCGGAAACCACGCATCATGGCGGCGGCGGCAGCGGCGGCAGCAGCAGCAGTAGCTCAAGTGGCGTCGGCGCCGGCGCCAGCATTGGCAGCGGGCCGGAGAAGGAGTCAACGCTGCTGATACTTGCCACCGTTGTGGCGATAGGCGCCGTCATTGTGACGTCAATTATCGTAGCAGGCATTGTTGTTGTCTGTCGACATCGGCCGCGGCCACCTGAGCCACAGGAGGTGCGCAAGAGCATGCGGTAAGTTCGTCAAAATAGCCTACAAATAAATAAAGTAAAGGGTAGTATGTGGAATACACCCTCGGTTCACACATCGAGTAATTTCGGTTCAATTGCAAGAACCTGGGTAACATTTGTCTATTTACTAGCGGATCTGCTTTCAAACAAGGGGAGATTCCCCTTCTAAATAAATGTTAATCGATTAATTTAATATTAAGCGGTGGATGCCTATTTCTACCCATGATAGTAAAGTATAGCCAAGTCGATCAGTCTGAAGTAAACGTTCTTTGCTGCTCTTTTTGTTTGCTGCTGCTCATTGTTTTGAGTGAGCGCATATAAAAACTAATAATGAAATTGTTTGTTCCACTGCTGCGGCTGTGCTACAGTGTGTGCTGAAATAATTACAGCATTATTTATGTGGGGCACGTGTGCAGCAACCAAAGCAAAAACAGCAGCAGCAGCAACAGCAGCAACAACAGCAGCCGTGGTATTAAAAGAGGTAGCAGCGGTAGCATAAATAATTGTAGCATACTTTTCTGAGCCTTTTCATAAAATATAATTAAAAGTCCAGACCAAGACCAAGACCAAGAGCAAGAGCAAGAAGAGAGTGCTTAATCGATTCGCTTGCTTGCTTGAAGATCAAGTCTTTAAAATGCGCTCAATTCAATGAATAAAACGACCACAATGCCTTTGCAACTGTATTAGGCTCATTAAACATTTTCACTGGCTACGGCAGAATCGATTAGCACGAAAGCAGCCCCAATGTGCCTTGGGCTAAACAAAGAGCACGCAGCTGCCCACTAAATTATGCTTAGTCTGTAATTAAATTAATTAAACCTGCACCTGACTGAGACCCACAAAAGAGCAGAAAAGAATCAAGAGATGGCGACTCTTTGTCTGTGCACCGGAAACGGAAGACGCTTTCCCGATACCGCACCTCACCGCCAAGTGACTTTCATTTCAGATAAGAAATCTGCGTTAACTTCGGAAGGGTCGCCGAGCAAAGAGTAGCAATAATTAAGCAGCTGCTTAACCTGCCTCCTATCGCTCTCTATCTCTATCTATAACTGACTCTCTCACTCTCTCTCTCTCTCTCTCTCTATCTTTTTCATTCTGTCCCTCCTTTTCTGTCCGTCGACCAGCCACTTACCAGAACTCTGTCAAATGTCAGCTGTGTGGCTAGGTTGCTGCCTGCCTGAAGCTAATGAAAGACAAACTTGCAATCGCTGTGCCAGGCACAGCGCACTTAGTTTGTGTGTGCGAGTATGTGTGTGTATGTGTGTGTGTGTGTGTGTGTGTGTGTGTGTATTGACGATTAACCCAGCAGTCATTTAGTTATCCATAGAGACCTATGCCAGGTCTGCTCTCCATTCTGATGCTGCCACTTAATCGTATCGGGGAACAGATTATCGACCCACCTGCTCGCCTCGGTTACATTTCGAGAGGGGGGCAAATCAGGTGGGCCGCACTTCAAAGCAAAAGGCCAAAGCAAAATATTAATTAAAATGCGCAACACAGTAAAAAGTTTCATAAATAGCCGCTGCCTCCTCAGCCTCATTTCGTCACATTTGACATCAAAGCGAAACGCATGCGGGTCATTAAATGGTCGCCATTCAAATTGCACATGCTGTGTGTGTGTGTGTGTGTGTGTGTGTGTGTGTGTGTGTGTGTGTGTGTGTGTGTGTGTGTGTGTGTGTGTGTGTGGGATGGGGGATTATGACTGTTGGACAGTCCGACCAATGTGTACAACCTGTCAAAGAGAGTTGTGCACATAAATATATCAAATTATGTGTAATTTAAATGGTTGTCACCTCTCTCTCTCTCTCTCTCTCTCTGTCTCTCTCTTTCTTTCTCCAATACGTTGCCATATGCGCCAATGCATAAATTTTAACGCTTTGCTTTTTGTGGCTAAAGTATTATTGCAAATATTGAAGCACACACACATACACACACATAAAACACACGTTAAACACACGTGCGTCAAAATCAGAGTGATAAGAGTCGGACGCATCTGTTTTAATTAGCATTTGCACTACGGGTTGCCGTCAATTATAAGCGGATCAAGGAGCAAGCAAATTGAAATTTCAGCCAGCAATGTGCAATAGGCCTGTTAAATAGGCAAAGTTGCAGCAGTTGTACCCCAGAGCATTGGCTAATGTTGTTTGTGTTTTGTTGTTGTTGTTGACCTGTGCGGTGGTCGCTTGGATTTTTTCCAAGCCAAAATAAAACTGGATATCGTCCGGGGAACTATTAACAAGTTTTGGTTTAGGTGTGTGAAACTTTTAATAGATTTGTGAGACTTGTTTTTTAATTTTTGCTTTTCTTCACTCCTTTGTCCCTACAGGCCGGCACGCAACGATGTGCCCTCGATGTATATTGAAGAGGATGAGCTGAACGAGCTGGAGGAGGGCGGCGGACGGGCAGCGGAGATTCGCTCACGCATCACACCTGCCACATCGCATCTATGCGGTGGTGCCGGCGGTGGCGGCGTCGGTGGTGGCGGTGGCGGTGGCATTGTGGGCGTTGGCGGACCGCATCATTACATCTCCGAGAGCTTCATACAGTACGCGCAGCCCAGTCTAAACGGTACTATTCCAAAATCTATACTCAACAAACTGTAGCCAATAAATGTAGCTGTAGTTGACTAGTCAAGTATCCATATCCAATATCCTACAATGATATATATCTACCGAATATAGTATATTGTATTTAGCTCTCTTGCATCCACTCGGTTTGCGTTCTTACCTCTTGTGTCATGTTCGAGTAAGCACTTGATATTAATTTGTATTCATAGTTTTAGTTGATTGATTGCTGTAATTTAATTGAATCTAATCGATGCGACTCGATTTTGAATCGAGCCCCCTCGACTGTAAATACTTTTTAGAATTCATTTACAATTTTATGCACACTTCACATCTGATCACTTATTATGAGTATGCCATATACATAACTAATATGTAGATTAGCTTAATTTGTGTAGCTTGCAGTGCACATGAAACAACATGGAATCAATATTAAATAATAAAATGTCAATGCCATCAGTCAATCCATTATTTATTCCGTTTTTACTTTATGATTATGAATTTTAAAAATTAATTTAAACATGTAGCTTTGAATGCATGAGTTTGTTTTGGTATTTAATTAGTCATAAATGTTCGGGAAATGTGGGAAGTCCGAATAGAGCGTTTGTGGTTAGCGCTGTCCTATTATCTTGACATATTTGCACATGCACACCCCGATTGCATAATGTAGTGATGCGGTTTGTGGGATAGAGCGCATTACATTTTAAATCAAATGCAACTGCAACTGCAACTGCAAACATTTTACTTTTGTGTGTTGAAATTGAACAACTAATTGGCCCTTATTCCATTTAGCAAGTAGTGGCTTATGTCATAACATTATCTAATTAGTGTTGATCGAAACAATTCCTTACTGTTTCCATTTTCATTGAATCATTTAAAATATTTACTGGGGCAGCACTTAAGCATATTGTCAACTCACTTGAACAGATTAGCTCACTTACTGCCGCACTGTACATACATACAAACATAACAAATGTTGTAGATATATCCTAGGCAGTCCGTACAATAATCCTGTCAATATCTTAGAATTAGTTCTCAACTTAATTGCCCAAGCTCTATATAAAGTGCTGCCTTCTATATATCTATCTCCTCTACTCTTTCTCTTTCTGTCTCTATCTCTCCTGTTGGTTGCTTTAAACTCATCATCAAACAACATAGTAGTTGAATTCTTAACTTGAGATTGTAAACACCTCAAGTTGTTTTTAAAGCCATGTAGTGCACAGATACATTTGTAAAGTTGCAACTTTCCCACCCCCAATTTCTCACCCGCCAGTCTGTGGCCCTACTAACTGTTAACCGCTAACCCATCCTAGGCGATGTGCTGCTACCTTTGCTCGTTGCCGCCAGCCAACCGACCAGTCCTTATCACCGAGCTGGCTCCAGCGCCCCACTCCACCAACCCACTGCCACAAGGTCGGATGTGGTGGTGGCTATGCGCCACCCAGCTGCAGCTGCAGCTCACTCTGTGCTCTGTGCAACGGATGGCAATGCAGCTGCCTGGCCGCCCAAATGTATGCAAACTGATTTTTATATTATGAAATCTGTGCAGTAAGCCGAAAGGCAAGAACCAGCACCAGCATCAGCATAAAAACAAAAGCAAAAATTACACACAAACATACATTGATCGAAAACTGCAATAAATTAAAATTCCAATAAAGCAAAGTTCTCTTTGCAAATATTTCGAATAATAAAGCTAGAGTAAATACACAAAATGTTGCTTGATTTCACTTATTAATTTGTCGCAATTTGCATACATCCATCGTCAATCGAGTTTGTTCACAATTCATTTTTCATACTCTACTCTCACAATGGGTGTATTGTCTGTGTGTTGTTAATATAAAATATTTCAAATCATATTTGAGATCAACTAGAATATTTCTTAAGTAAGCAGGGTATTTTTAAGACAGAATTTGTATTTTATCGACTGAAACATTTGTACTAAATTGGAGCTTAAGCTTTTTCTTTTAGTTTTAGGCCGATGGTGGGTTTGTGTTTGGCACTTGCCCTTTATCCAAATTGCACAACAAAGCCACAAATTTCTTTTAATTTCGGGTATTTTACTAATTGCTGATGTGATTTACTTCTGACCGTTATTTGCAAGTATGTGTGTGGCCAGAAAATCATTTGAAATTGAAATCCTCTCAGCCTTGTATTCTGAAACAACGTAAATAATGCCTTGTGTCTTATCTGCCTCCATCGTTGGCAATAAAAGGAATTTTTCAAACAATTATTGTATGGAGACTTGGATCTCAAAGCTTCGCCATAAAACAGGATGAATTTTCATAAAAGCTTTTTGATGAATTTTTCTTAAAGTGCTTTCGCTTTGAAATTATATTTAGAGTCATACGAGATGCTCTGAAGCCATTGAAAATGACAACGCCAACAACAACAAGGACAATTGAAACAACAAAACAAGTGACATGACAATAGCACACTCGCATGTTAAATATTGTATTTAAAAAGGACAATTGCAGCAGTGCCCGACTCCTATCTGCAAAGAAAACAATCATCATTGCCACAGTGGGCTAATTTTTGTACCAAATTGTAGTCCAGTCAAAATGTATTTTTAAATTAAATTGAGAAGTTTTTATGATACATTTTTTGTTGACTATATGATATTTACAAATATGTAGCCCTATGTTGAGCAAAAGTTTCTTAAGATTATCAACTGCAAACTTTTTTTTAGCGATAGTAAACGAAAAAGAATCTGAAACTGCTTCTTCTGAACACAGAAATGCCCTAATCTCGGAGATTTCCAATCCAGGCTTCAACCATTTGACTTCCTTTGCGCTTTGCATAGACTTTATTTAAATTCAGTCACATTTTTGAGTTATACAAATGCTTTTCTAGATGCAGCCACACTGTGCGACTCTGCCATTGAATGAGGTCGTTTTTATAGTAGTTTGTTTCTATTGGTATTTGGATTGGTATTTGTGTCTGTATCTGTGTGTGTGTGTTTGCGAGTGTGTGTGTGTGTGTGTGTGTGTGCGAGTGTGCTGGTGTGTGTCGACAAAACCCCTCGGACACATTGCATACAGCTGTACAGTTATGTAGCGCTGTCTGTACACGCAGCTGGAGAGTACACAATCAAGATACAGAGTTATATGCAAATAGGCACTCGCTTCTAGTGCCAGTATGTTGCACGCTCGGCGAGAGTGCAGTAAACAAATTTGCAGTATATGCTGCTCGCTCTGTTTATTTTGCGAGCTCACGTAGACTTTGTTTTAGCTTTGAATTGCATAAATTTCAATTATGTATTGCAAAAGCACTACATTAAAAAGCACATACAAGCACAGACACACAAACACACGCAGAGTTATTCGGCATTTCATGATGTCAAAATGGCAAATGCAAATATTATTTAATAGGCTAATGTGACGTGTACATGATATTATTATTATTATTAATATTGAATATGTTCGCTTCTGCAAGGGTTTTTCTGCCCAACATCAGTTGGCTGTTGGGCATAATGTAAATTGAGTGTAACTCAAAATGTACAAATTAGTCACATTTGATTTCAGTCAGATTTAATTTTCATTTCTTTTTTCTTTATTTATGTGCGTGTCTGTCTTTTTTGATTTCCTTTTGCTGGTCCGCTTGCCTGACAACTTTTAATTTATACGCGCCGCTGGCTTTAAACCTTGACATGGCACGGCAACTCCCACACTTGACTGTCAAGCGTTGTGTTGCTAAAGGCGTATTAGCAAAGTCACAGCCCCCTTCCCGCCGTCGTGAGCGCTGATAAATAAACCAAGTTGGCTCGGCCATGCTTACAAGACTCTAACAAGTGCCAAAGTCAAACTGAAGTGTGCCTGGGCGACTGCAAAATGGGGGAACTGTTGCGCCATAGCACAAAACTGAAAGCCAACAAGTTTAAAGTTGGTCGTATGGGGAATACCCTACAGGGCAGAAGGTAGGCAACTCGGCAGAACTGAAAGGAATGAGTTAATTATGTCATGTCTTAGCGCCTCAATATGTGCGTTGAGTGAGGCGAGCCGAGAAAGGGAAGCGAGCAACGATGAAAGTAACTTTCCTTGTACCAAAGTAAATAAAATGATTATGATATGTCATTTATTTATTTCTACATATATATTTATATACATATTTTTTTATATTTCTCTGACGGGATTTCTTATACATTGAGTACAGTAAGGCCCTGACCTACATTTGGCGTTGTATGTATATGATTTTTCTTTACTTTGCTGCGTACCTGTTTTACTAGAATCAAAGTGAATTTCTTAAAGAATTAAACAAGCTGTAGAAAAGAATAAATTTGAAATACTTAAGAGCAAAAATGATTGTGGTGCTCAAATACAAAAATTCCGCTTGCTTTTGTTTCAACTTTGGCATCAGCAAATGCTTTTTGCTTTTACTTTTTAATCATTTTATCGCTGCTCGCTTCCTGCTTTTCACCGCACTCCAAACATAACTTCTGGCCTTAACTTTGCGTCTGAAGGATACTTTTGTTAATGTATAGTCTTGTTTCTTTAGTTCATTTCGAATTACAATTGCTTCTCGCAATGTTAAAAGTTGAACTTCTCTCATTGCGTTTCTTGTAGCCTCTGCAAATGAAATCTCCCCCAGTTGGCTCTGCAAACTAATAGACTCAAGCATCGTATAGAGCACAACTTAGACAAACAGTGAGCACTTACAGCGCAGTAATTCAAGTCGAGAAAGAGGGCTACTCATATATGACTATATGTCTGTGTGTGTGTGTGTATCTGTGTGTGTGTAAGGCTGCCCGCCATCGCTCAGCGCTGCTGCTGCTGTTGCTCCTGTTGTCATTAGCTAACATTTTTAATTGCATAGAGCCTCGCGTGGCGGAATCCACTCGCAAATTGAATGACAGGTGGGCGCCAGTGGCTTGGTTGGGAAAACTAGGGGTGGAGAGAGGGCTGCTTGGCTGAGTTTAGCGCGTGTTTTTCTGTCTTTAGAGCGCAGGTAAATACGTTTGACTTTTTCAGCTTACTTACTCTATAGTATGTGTATGTGTGTGTGTGTGTGTGTGTTACAAGTGTTTGTTTTTGCGTATGCTTTTTTGTTTTTTTGGTGTGCACATTTGTTTCATTTCATGCTGCACCATTCATTTTGCTCGACTTTATGCCTTATTGTTGTTGCTGTCGTTGTTGCTGTCGTTGTTGTTGTTTGTCAGGACGTTTGTTTTGTTTTGTTTTGTTTTGTTTGTCTGCGCGCATCATGAGTCGCGACGCCAACTGGATAACATTTGTGTAGCCCATCCGTCCTTGGGCTCTTGCTCTTTGCGCCAGCTGCCGCAAGATATATATGCTACACATATTGTAACACACACACACACACACACACACACACACACACACACACACACGGACACACACACGAACACACACGTACATATATGTTCTATACGTGTTTGTGTGCTTTGGGTTTCTTGTGCACTTCAGTGGCACTCGTCTAATTAGACAAAGTTGAGACAAGGCCCGCACATGGCAGTCACTGAAAAAGAGGCCAACTCAAGTCAGTAGGAGACAGTCATTTGTTGCGGCGGCTCCGCTCCGCTTTAAGGCGCCCTAACGGATGCTGTAAAAATTGTACTGTAGCTGCTTTATAGGCTTCGGGCGTCCCGGGCATCAACTTTGATGTCTGTGGCCGAGCCACAAGAAGTGCCACACAATTTGCTTTTGGCAACATTGTTGATGCGGCCTACGATGTGCCACAAGCACACACACGCACACACACACACACACACATACATGCACATATCCAGGCAGGGTTACAATCTGTGGCACTTCAATGTCAACGCTCATTCATTTGTCGTCACACTTACGTTCCCCTTGCCCTATTTGCCTTTGACTCTGCCTCTTAGCTGGCAACATTTTTGCAACTTTTGACATTTTTAATGCCGCCAGGCATGGTGTGAAAGTATACGTGTAGGGCCACACACACACACACACACACGCACACAAATACATACGCAAATACAAATTGTGACGCCATTTGGACGTTGCTTTAGTTTGTGCGTCTTTATGACTCAAAGACGCCACACAAATGTGACATAAAAGGCGATAATAATAAAATATAACACAGGGCGCTGCGACAGGACGAACGTCAAATAACAAACTGCAAAATCGTAAACAACAAGCAGCAGCGGCAGCAGCAAAATGCCGCCACCAGCCAGCGCTAGATGGCGCTTAAGTTTCACTTGACCCGAACTCAAACTCATATATCAACACGCACTCAAACTTGGGGGTGAACTAAAATGATGCGAACATTATTCTACTATGAGGCACGATAAAATGAATTTGAACATAATGCGACTGAAATGTGCGATACAAATTAAGAAATTGTCGAATTATTTCATATTTACGACCCAACTGGGATATTATTAATATTTATAAGATGTTCTTGTTGTTGTTATTGGTTTTGTTCGCTTGCTTGCTTGGCTGCTGCCTCTTATCGGCGCACAGCTGGTCACGCTTTTGATATTTGCTAATAGTTACGATTTCTATTTTCTTTTGATATATTTTTGATTTGCTGCCAAAACAAAATAAAAAAAAAAAAAACAATTTGCAACTGTTATATGATGTCATTTTGCAAGTGTTGTGAATTTCACTACAAATACAAAAAAGTAAAAACAACATATATTAATAATTATAATAATAATAATGATAATAATAATAATAATACAAGCAAAACTAATCGGTAACACACAAATTATGCTTTTATTTCTCTTCCCACCCGCATCGACTCTCTCTCTCTCTCTGTCTCTCATCCACACACACACACACGTATTTATCCTTGCGCATTACTCACTCGTTCTTCATTTTATAACACGCACACACGCACACACACACACACACCCATCCACAAACACACTCATATACCTATGCTCGCCATTATTGTTGTTGATTTTGTTTTATGCCAACCAACCAAAGTGTATATTGCAGACCCGGATCTGATATTACCACGCGGCGAATTGGAATTTACGACCCTGGATCCAACGCTGAAGTAATTGTAAAATGTAATAATATCTACCGCAGTACACATAGCTCCCAACCACCCTCCCCCCGTCTCTGCGCCATGATGCACTATGAGAGCCCTGGCGTCTTTTAGCCGCACAGTAGGCAACATAATTCATGGCCATTTCATTTTACATAGCTGTAAATTTTTAGCCTAAATTTAAATATATTAATGTCAAAGGTAAAAAAACAAAATGGATGCATACAAATCAATTTGTATGTGTGTATTATGTTTGTCAGATACGAATCATAAGCGAAAGGAAAAACTCTGTTTTTATTTAAGTGTCATACGAAATGCAAAAGTCAAAAGTCAAAATCAAAAAGAAAAAGAAAACCATTACCAAAGCGGCTTTGCCACTCTATAAATACACTGCAATCTTGAAACTGAAATCAAAACATGAATTTTGTAAATATTACTAAATGCATACAATACAATCACACACACATACAGCGCACACACACACACATTCATAAAGAAAAGCCAGTTGAAAATCAAAAGAAAATGAAAATGAAAACGAAAGCGCCATCAAATGTACATAAATAAGGGGCAAACATAAATCAAATTGCATTTAAATGTTAAATATTAACTGTAACTATAATGAACCACTAACTTATTAAGCTAGCTATTAGGTTTAGTCATTAGGCAAATTGTGTGTATTCCAAGTATCTAAATTGTATTTCGACTCAAGGAGCAAAGCGGGAAAGTAGCAACAATAAAAACAACAGCAGACTGGAGAAAATGCTTAATCAAAAGTCACAAAAATGTAATTCAACCTGATGCAAGGATTAGATGACTACGAGAGTGCGTGCAATTTATGGAATGTTTATTGAGGAATCCAATTGAGAAATTCAGTCAAAGTAAGCGTTATTCGATACTTGTGACTCGTACTTGGGTCATGCTTAGTCCAAAGTTGCTCACATACTCACATACATAAGCGTATTTGTAATCCACATATGTATGTATGTGTAATTCGTCAAGCCGTTCAACAATTTTTTGGAGCAAAACAATTCAAAAACCGTAATCCGTGCTCCGAAAGCCGTCAACCGTCAGCTGAAAGCTGTAAGCCTTAGTTAGCAGTCGGAAGAGCGTCGCATTGCCAGCAGCCTTGTTAGCAATTGTAATATCCACAACAAATTTATAAGTTATCTGTGGGCCACGCCTACGAGCAATTTTCGAAAATTCAATTCTAATGCAGTCTCCACAACAATTGCAAGCCCAGTAAATTGGTGGCCACACCCACTAAGGCACTAGTAGGTGTTGCACGCTGTGACTAACTATATATATTTATATGGATTCATGAATATTCCATTACCATAACAAAGGCAGGCATGAAACAAAGTGTGCGCAAACTTCGAGTGCATAATGAATAAATGTTAAATAAATTACAGCCTCGGAGCCGCAACCACAAATTCAACAACAATTTCAAACAAGAACTACAGCAGATAAATAGCAACAATAATACAATAATACAAATTAATTCATTGTATGTATATGTTATAAATAACTAAAGTAATCGACTAAAAATACATCAAATCTAAAGTAAAGCAGCATTCATACACAAACACGCCCACACATACATACATACATACATATGCGTATATATAAATACATATATATATATATAAATGTGGATGTGAATGTGAATATCAAGTTTACAAAACAAAATGGCAGCCTAGCAAAATATACACTGCATATGCATAATAGAATTACTTACAAATTATACCATAGATCAAAAGCGAAGCGAGGCGAGACGGGGCGACTAGGGGCGTGGCAATACGAATAACAACTGAACATTCTTGTATTTGCTTCACCTCAAGCATCTCCCTCGCCCACCCTAACTTTCTCACTATCTCTTTCTCTCTCTCTCTGTCTTTCTCTGAAGAAATTGCAAAACTAAACTGATTGTTTTTAAGCCGAGGTTAGTTTTACAAATGAAAAATGAACATAAATTTAAATTAAATTAAATGATAAATATATTTTACAATTAAGCCGAAACTACTGAGTGTGTTAATAATATTAATGAATACTTAATAAATAAACTGAATTCAAGAAAACAAGTGAATTTCTGTGCATTTAAATCAATTTAAATTACCCACATTCCAGCGCCACATCAAACTTTAAATAATCGCCAAGTTTGCCATTCAGCTAGCCAACTTTTCCCAAGGGTTAAGTGATATTAATACCTCGCAAATCCCGCAAACAGTCAAACCAATAACCCAGCCAAGACTCCAGCACTTGGTCCCATTAACTGCACTATTAGCTTGCCACTACCCGCATCCCTCCCCAAACTGCTTTTCATTCGTGCTCGAGGCGAGTTATCGAAACAACGGAAAGGCGGTCAGCTAAGTCGGCCTTCATTAGTTTACACGGCAAGTTGGCCAAGAGCTGCTCTTGAATGGGTTGCAACTTGGCTGGCGTTCAAGATTAAAACACTTGCCAGCGCATTCCCAGCGCTGGAGTCAATAAAATCTGAAGCAAACTCCTTGCTAACTTTTTAACTGCAGTTTGTACAATTTAATACCAGTTTTGCAAAATTGCATTGCATATTTTTGGTTCCAACGATGAAACTTTGTAACTTGACTAGTTCAATGGGTTATTCCAGAACATTAATTACAATTATTGAGTTAAGCTGTATCCCATTGAAGGGTTAGTTATATTCGCCTTTATTTTCAGATTTATAGAACTAACCTAGAAAATAATATCAGCTGCAACACATAGCTTCTGTGTTGTAAAAATATATTGAACATATAACTATTCTGCATAGGTTTGAGTATTTTACGCTGGTATAAGTAAAGTTCGAAAATACAGATTTCGAATTTAGGTGCAGCCCAGGAGTCAGGACTTCCGCAATGGCCACAACATTTCACAACAGACTCCGATGGACCGTTGAATTCTCATGGCTAACTGTTTGTCGTTGTCTCCTGCCGACTTTGCTGATATTTTATAATACCTTTACTTACGATATTTAAACGTCATCAATTTACGAATAAGAAGCTGATTGTTATTGCAACATTAGTGAATATTGTTATAGCTCAAATACTATATTAATCTCATCAATTTGAATCTAAATAATTTTAAAATTATATAATAATAATAAATAAAACGAAAACAAATTTTATAGTTTTAATTGACTAACTAGAAACAAATTGTTCCATGTACAAAATAAATAATACAATTTTCACATATTTGAGAGCTTCGCATTTTCATTTTAGTTCTGCTTGGATATAACAAAAGAAAGCTAAAATTAAGGCCACATAAATCCACAGATTTGCACTTAAGTACGTAATTCGAAATGGCGGCATTGCGGCTGGGAATTGGGGGAGAGGGGTGTGTCAAGTCCGCTAGCAAATTGTCGGACAATTGCTTGCGTGCCTTTCTGTGACAAGCGTTGCTTAACCTTAAAGCTGGTGAGCAAATTAGAGGATGACTGGTTGCCGAAATCCTACAGCATTCACAATACAAAAAGGCATGCTTAGACCGGACACAAGTGATGAAATATTAATGTCCCAACTAAATGCTGACAGGCAGCACCCCAAAAAGGCAACCATAAATGGCAGCTTTGAATTCAATTATTCGGGCGAGCATCTGCAACAGTGAAGAGAACCTAAACGAATACCCTCGATTGCAGTGCAGCAATTATTGAGTTCTCTTGTTGTCAGAAGCCCCTAACAGAGATGTAACATGACGCGCTTTTCCCCGAATGGCATTCATATCAGCCATAACAATCACTGTCGCCATCACACTCCTTATCGGCGCTTCGGCCAGGTAGGCATTCTGACCAGTTTCTGGTCTCGGCTTAAATAGTACCGACCACAAATGTTGTGAAGGCTTGCAGCGCCTGTAGAAATGCCAAGCACCGTGAAAGCGTATTTTTTCTTTAACCTTTTTATTTTATTTATCTTTTTTTATATTTTGTATTTTTTCCTTTCCTTTCTTGTATGTGTGCTTTTGTGTGCGCCTCGTCAATGGATGTCGCCAGGCAGTGATGCTCAGCCAGCTGCTTGCATCGGGCCATCGGCGTCAGCTAAGGGAGCAATCAGCTCGAGCGACAGCTCTGTGCGCGAATCTATGCCAAGGATGTCACAGGCACAATTGTTTTCGCGGTCGCTTATTGTTATATGCATGTGTCTCTATTTATGTGGGTGTATGTGTGTGTGTGTGTGTGTGTGTGTGTGTGTGTGTGTGTGTGTGTGTGTGTGTGTGTGTGTGTGTTTGGGTATGTGTGGGTGCTCTTGCGAGTGAGTGCAAGGAAAACATACTTCAATTTAGATATTTCCAACGTTTATTTGCAAACAGCTGCCTTAAATCTAGACATAACCTCTTTAAGTCGCGATGTTCGCGGTCGCTTCCTTATTTTTGATGAGCTTTACATTGTGTATAGATATGGATTATATTATAATAAAGCGAATTTATTAAACTTTTTTCTGTTTTCTGTTTTCTGTTTTCGGTTTTCGGCTTGCTGTTTGTTGCCTTACACAATTTGCAATTCTAGACTTTTTTTTGCTTTGCTGTGCTGAATACAATTATTCTCCATTTACAATGCACTCAATGCGAAGTGGATGCAGACGCTGCTGTCACGGGTGCGGTGCACTGCAGAAAAAGTTCAACTGACCGTCGAGGATATACCGGCACCAAATCGCATCTGTTGACTGCTCTTTTAATAACTTGATGATAATAAAGTTTGTTGATTTTGGAAATAACATTTGGTGAGGTGCTATTGTCTATCTACATTTACATCTAAATCTACTGAAGCTCCAAGATTGCCCTCTCCAGTTTCCAGTTCAGTTACATGTGGAATATGCTCGCAATTTTAAAGCGCTGGGTAAGAGTGTATAGGGAGTGTATGCGAAAGCACAAACAGCTTGAGTGGGGCGCGCAGGCAGACAAGTAAATAAAATTCCAAATAAAGTAAAAATGTTGAAATGCCAAAGAAATGCACGGTACATATTTTACATTTATTCATTCGTCGCCGTTGCTGCTCTTGCTGATGCTGTTGCTGTTGCTGTTGCTTTTAAGCAAGGACAAAAGCAACGAGTGGCAAGCAGAGGCAAACAGAGTTAAGGAGAGGAGTGCCAAGGCTGGCTGGCTGGCTGGCTGCCGTACTGGTAAGCCGAGCGTTAATAACAACGCTTATCTGTGGCATTAGCAGCGTACACAGCAATAGCAATGGCAGCGAAAAAAAAGACACAAAACGAAAAACAAAAAACAAAAAACAAAAAAACAAAAAAATGAAACGAAAGAACAAAAATAAAAAATGATAATGAAAAACTCAAATAAAAGCGCAGCAACAGCACCAAACAGACAAGCAGCCGAATAGCAAACAATACAGAGACAGAACTGAGGATGGGGAGGGAAGTGGGCTGCTTGCGTGGGTAGGCAGTGGGTGGCTGCATAAGTAATTCAAGCTGCCGTTTGCCGCTAACGTTGCTGGCGTGACAACTTCAACTGACAGCCGCAGCGCAGCGCCATCATCCATTATCAGCAGTTGGCCATCTTAAAGTGCAGCAAAGCAGCAAAAACAACACAGGAAGCGCGAGCGCACAGCACAGCACACACAAAAGCAAACCAAACAGCAACAATAGCAACAACAAATAAAGGATGCGAACAAAAAGTCAAAATACAAAAGCAGTTGGACAGCGGGCGGTCGCATAAAAAGCAAAGCCAACAACACACAAAAAACAAAAAAAAAAACAGAACGAGCAGTAGCACAAAATGTCGCATTGTTTTAATGCATTTGGCGCAGCGGCGTAGCAGATGCTGATGCTGCTTGCCGCTGCCTGATGCCGCCTGATGTGTGACGCGTGTGGCACGATGCCTGATGATGCTGAGGCAGCAGCGCACACACACTGCGTATGGGCAATGTCGCGCTCAAAAACCACACAAGCCAACGCCCGCGGCTTAGGCAATGTCCTATTACGTATACGCCGCATGCTACTTGCCATTTGGAACACTTGATTGCTGTTGTGGTTGTTGTTGTTGTGTTTGTTGTTGCTGAAGATAATGGTGCTGGTTTTGTTTATGCGTCTCGATTGTAGCGGTCTGTCCCGGCGTATCTTTAACTGTAAACGTCACATAGTAACGTTTATTGCTGTCCAACTTATCCGCTGGCAGTGAAATTAGTTGTTTACTCTTTCCGTGCGACAACTCCAGAGCAACTTTGTGGCTACATTTGCCGCTGCCACCAAAGCCGACGTCGACGCCGATGCCAACGCCAACGCCGCTGCCTCCACGCCCGCTGGAGGCGCGGCCAGTGGTCAGTATTTTTGGCAGATAAAAACTACTAACGCTTCCGGCCTTCTTGTACGGTCCAAACCCAAACTTGGGCATCGTGTGGTGATTCATCATGGGAACTGCCAGACAGAGAGAGAGACATACACAATATGAGAGAGTTGTATATACAGTAGTACACACAAAAAAAAGAAGCTCTTTTTGAAGCAACGAAAATGAATATACTTTTGGTGCCAAACCATCTAATTATTAAGAGGATATTTCATAACTATTCTTTATTGTTTTAAGTTGTCAGAGAGAGTATTTTTCAAATATTTGCTTTCATTTCCTCAATTTATAAATATATTGCCTAAATATTACCAAGAAAGGGTAAAGGGTTTGAAATTACATCTACAAACAATTTTATTCTGAGTGTAACATCGGTAGATTAATGATGTACGGCCTAATTAAAAGCATGCCATTTTTGTGAGCATAGTCCAAATAAATTGCAGCTGTCAGCGTCAAGTGTGGAAATTCAGCTGCATTTAATTTTAGGCATTTGCAGTCACATGAGCAGAAGCAGCATGTGTCAGCGAGTTTAAGGACAATCTGTGAAATTGCCTTAAACAAACATTAAAAAAAACTAATACGAAAATGAAGCCAAGCGCGCAAATGTTTCAACTGGCGGAAAGCTTAAAGGCCAATTGCCATAAGGGTGTTAAAGCAACTCCTGCTGTTTTTAAACTGCTTGCAACTGCTATCCGCCCGAAGCCCATTTGTGTGGATTAAGCGCGCTTTGAAGCGGGATTTGTGTTGACTTTACTTGTATATAGATACATATATAAGCAGGGCACACAATACGCGAGTGCCACACAGAAATGAATGCGTTTTTAATTTGGCTTAAGCCGGACGCGTCCTGCGTCCGCATAGAACTCATAATGAAAGTTGAAAAGGCGCAGCAAAAATAAAAATAACAAGCAAGTACGCTCTAGTCGGGAGGGCTTGACTGGCTGATACCCTGAACACAAGACTTTACCCATCACAGGCGGACACTTCTAAGATATTCAAACCAACATGACTGATGATGCCAATCTCGTATATATATACTCAATGGAGTCGAGGATGCTTTCTGTTCCCTCTTTCATACCTTCACACAACTCTATTATACCCTTTTTACCCGTTTTCAATGCGTCTAGGGTATAAAGCAGGGAAAAAGTAGAAAATATTTTTAATTCGCCTGGCGCTTGGTTGCTCGCCCAAATGAATAAACTGCTCGTAATTAGGATATATTTTAATGCTCTCGGCGCATTTGACGCCCACGCTCTTTGCTCCTCATCTTTGTATTTGAGTGTTAGCCATCCGCTTGACCCACTCAAAAGACGGTAGAAAAAACTGTAACAGCTTGTGGCCAAGTGATTCAACTGACCGTCTCACTGTCGGACTGCCGGCCTATCTTTCTTTCCTTCTTTGGTGCAATTTTTCACGCTTAGGCGGCATTCAACATTGACTTACTGTAGGCGGCGCAGGGTATGCCCGTGTAGGCATGTGCCGCGTGTAGGCAGCGATGTGTCTTCGTGGTGCACTGCAGCGCCTTCTCGTACGCATTGTAGTCGGGACTCAAGCGCCGCTCCGCCTGCCGGGGAATAAAATCAAATTTTGAGACTTGTGGAAATATGCACACACAGAAATATCTCGATTTACAACATGGTTTCGAGGAACTAATTTATTGAAGACGTAAATTGAGACGCCGTTAATAGAGAGAACGTAAATCGAGAGATTTCAAAAGGCAATTATTTAACTTACCTCCTCGTACACCTCGTTGATGTTTTGAAAATTGTTGGTGCCCGGCTTCTGCAATCCCTTGAGCGTCTCGTACAGGAACAGCTCAAAGTTTTTGAACGTATACTCGCTGAAATTGTAACGTCTGAGCCTTGTGCCAGTTTCACCGCCCAGCAGCACGCACGATTTGTGATAGTCGTCGACGGCACGCTTCACCAGCACTGCCTCGTTCAGCTTGTTGGAGCGTATCTGCAGCGACTTGAGCTCAAGCAGATGCTGAAAGATCTTGCGCTCCATGTAGTATCTGCAAATAGGGATGGCAGCAAAGAAGAAGAATATAAAGGCACCATGGCAACAGAGGCAGCCAAAGAAAAGCGCATCATTGTTCCTCATCTCATTCCCCGGTCTCCCAGCTCCCAGCTCCTAGCTCTCAGCGCTCAGCTCCCTGCTCTCTTCAGTCTCGTCATCACCATCATCGTCAGCATCAGCATGGCGAGCTTTTGCCAGTAAGCGCATAAAATAAATGTTAGCAAATGTACGTAAATTGTCATTCTGATATTTCGCATGGCGAACAAAGGCCACGCCTGCTGTGCTTTTTTTTATATCCTCGCCGAGGGCATTAAGGTTGTGTCATTAAGTTTGAATCGCATTGAGGAATGCGCCTCTGATTTCATTAATAGCATATTATTCTGTCTATTTCTATTCAAACTAATCCCTCACTAAACGCGCAGACTGCAGGCAGGATATATGTCGGCCAGATGAGATCGCTATATTATTGACCTTCCAGAGCAGCAATCGATCGACAGATGTCATCTTGTATAAGATTGTTTAAAATATAAAGTCATTTAGCTATCATAGAAATAAATTGGTCGTTATCTTAAATTAACAATTAAATTTAAAAGTCAGCCTGATAGACTCCAGCCTGTAAGGGTATATAAGCCTCGGTGTGCCTAAGTAAGACCTTCTTACTTGTTTCATTTTTTTCATTTTCTTCCTTTGCCTGTGCATGACATAGCTCCAGGCTCAAAGGAAGCCAGAAGCTACGGCAAGAAGAGGTGGTTCGGGGCTGGTTGCGAACACAATGCGCACAATACGCGAACGCAATAAAAGGCATCATGTTATTAAAATTTCAAAAATACTAAAGTGCGTGCGCGAAAAAAGGAAAAAAAAACAAAGGAAAACATTCTATTAATAATTGAGAGCAAACATAAAGCGAAGCAAGTTAAATTAAAGCAAGCCAGCAAAGTCATGGTGTAAAAAATAATCGAAATATTTTATTAAAATCTAGGCATATTTCCAAATATTGAAGCTGCAAATCTGCTGGTATCAGGATGCCTGACAGGCTTAAAGATTTTACAGCCCCTGGCTGTGGTACTTAAACCTTTTTGCAAATCAACTGGCGGCTCGCAAGCCATTTTTTTTGCAGCGCCCCGAGCAATGCATTTTCTACCCAAAAACTGAGCACATTTCTGAAGTGCACTCAACACAGCGCAACGTTGAGCGTTCTAAACTTGTTTATGCATTGAGTCGGATGGTTGGGGTTAGAGGTAAGAGATTGAGGGGTTGAGGGTAAGGTTTGAATTTTCGCGAATTGGTTGGCAATTTATGCAGTTTTGCTGCTTGACACTGTTCGCCACTTGGCTGCACTGCAAAAATTATGCGAAACAATTTCGACTTTCAACACACAAAAACTAAACAAACCAACGATTTGGCAAATAACAAGCAGCCCGTGGCTGATAAAATGACTTCGACTTCGTCTTCGTTTTGTGGGTCCATTTTAAGCAAAAGTGGCCATTGGAGAGCAAAAACTGCGTAACAAATTGCACTTTCAAGTAGCGCATAAAAAGCCGCAAAACCGGACTAGCGATGATGATGAAATCTCTGACTGTAAGGTCTACAGCGAGGACAACCACAGTCAGCCACCTGATTCGTTCACTGGCCACCGGTAAGGCTAGAGCAACATAGCTATTTGCTTATTGCCCCAGTGCTTATGTAGCTGCCGTGGCCAGCATCATAATCTCCACAATCCTCGTCCAACTCCATCTTCAGTGGCGCAGTGGAGCATCAATATGCGGCTTGTTTGCTGCGCTTTTCAATTTTACGCCTCGCTTTGGCTTCACTCATCTGTGCCTCAATTCTTTCCTTTTGGCAAACTATTTGTGCTTCGCTCTCTTTTGCTTGCCGCTTGTATTCACCCTTACGCCAACACCACTCTCCCCACTAGTGCAAATAGTTTTTGTCCTTGGCACATTTTTTTTCAGCCGTTGGTTTTGGTGTTGCTGCCGCTGCTGCTGTTGCTGTTGTTGCTGATTTCCGTTTCCGTTCTACGTTCGCTTAGCACAACTTTCATTGCATTTTCTTGTGCGCGTTGATTTGGTGTGCTACATTTTTCAGTGACCGACTCTTACTATCACGCCCACGGCCGCCCCTGACACCCAGTCAGTCAGCCAGCCAGCTACCTCCCCATGTCTTCCTGCCCCACCGCCGACGGCATTCTGTTCGCAACACAAATGTGACAAGCAAAAAAATGCACGCTGCACCAAAATGGGTGGAGTGGAAACAAGGCCCTAGGGGGCGTCAGGCAGCAGCAGCAGCAGCAGCAGCAGCAGGAGTAGCAGCAGCAGGGGCAGCAGGCGACTGTTGACAACGTCAGTGACAAACGAAATGCAAAGAAATTAAGCACTCCACAAGCGAAAATGGCAACAGCAACAAATTTGTACCCACTGGCAATTTGGAATGCATAAACAACAAAAGCAAACAGAAAGTGCAAACGATTTAAAACCAAAAGAAAAAATTCTTTACTTGCCGTCGGCGTGTGGACATATGCGCAATTTAGTGCTGTACTTTATTTGCCCGTAGGATTTGAATTTGAATTTGAAGCCCCAAAATTGGTAGAAATCCACAGACGGCGGCATCGAGCTCTCGGAAAGCTCTCCGTCTGCGGCTCTGGTTTGTTTTCTTTTCTTTTTTTAGAAATCTGAAAAGTTTCTCGCCTCATTTTTCATCGGAACGAAAGTTTTTTAGGCTTGAGCTCAAAAGTTTGGAGAGCGCTGCTTGAAAAGCTCAACAGATCCCCAGGGAAGGGTAGTAAAGAGAGGGAGCTCCTACATTTCACGGACTGCTGCTCCTCTACCTCTGAATATATATATAAATATATATATATATGCATATATGTATACAGAGTACAGTGGTTATCCGGAAATTAGAATTTTCGGTTTCAGTGGTAATTTTGCTCCACAAATTTTTTCAAGTATTAGTTTTATATTTAAGCTAGAATTTACAGATTTAAGTACAAAACACCACTGACCCAAACAAGCTTAAGGTTTAAGTCTCGGTAGAATTTTCTAACGAATTCCATTTTTTTTATATATATTATCTAGAATTTCATTTTTAAGGGCGTTGCAAAATGATTTAATATGTTTTACACAGTGTTTGGAGCAAGCAGATTTAAGAAGTTTACCCATTGACTCAAAATCCCTAATAGACTCGCGCTCTGTAAACTCAAGCAGATTATCCGCAAGGACACACACAGAGGCAAGGGAGAAAGGCAACAAAAAAATGAAAGTTCGGCCGAACGTTGGCAAAACGAAATCCAAATATTTAACAATGTCAATTACGTGAGCGCACATTATAAATCCCAAATCTCACCTGTGTTACTGGGACACGCACAGAAAAACACACACACACACACCCACACACACCCACACACACATAGACACAGCAAACATGGCAGAATCACACACACACACACACACATTCAGATACGCATGAAAGTTATTTGTTTAATTTATGCGTCAGATAAAATTTTAATCTCTTCGGAGCCAAAGCGAAAAAAATAAACAAAATGAAGTTGCTGTTACACAAAAAAGGAAAAAAAATAATATAAATAAAAACCAAATCAAAAAACAACAACAAAAACAACGAACATGCTACTGATATAAATAAAAACTCTCTATTTACACACTTTTCATGGCGTTTAGCCTCGCTGGTAGTCCAACTTCCCGCCAGTCCACCCATCCATACCAAAGTTAACCTCCGCATAGCCAAGTGTATTCTACCGGGTGCTTTAGATTTTCTTTTCTGCCCAAGCAACCCAAGTAACCAACCAGAGCGGGCGACTCGGCCTCCACACTCGAGTGGATTTCGTTGAATTTTTATGTATTTTACAAGAATTAATTGACTCACACTGTCAGTCGACTTGTTAAACATTTCGTTATATATTCTTTCGTGGTGAGCAAGACTCACGTAGAACTTGCCGTATAAATTGCGTATACGCAGCATAGTATTTGCATTGGATCTTTATACGCAGACGAAAAAGTTGTCTCATACAAATGAAACGAACGGGCCGCGTAAATATTTTCATTAGCCAAGTGAAAATAATATTTATGTGTATTTATGAATTTCGTTTGCTGTTGAATGCTTGAAAATTTATTCATAGGCTGCGACTGGGGCAGATTATGAAAATTAATAAAGTGTGCTTACTCAAAATTTAATTAAGTTTTCGAAGTTTATTGCTGGAGACCCATGCAAATTATATAATTGCAATTAAAATTGACTTGTTGTTGATCTTTAATCCATCCTGGCTCAAAGCAAATTTGATTGTCAAATGAATTATATATATATAAATATACATATATATATATATATGTGTATCTATTGATATATTCCATTACGACACACACACACTCTCACGATAAAAAAAACTAATTTTATGTAGTCAAGTGAACATCGACATTTTAATCCGTTCGTCTCAAGGACTTCCGCGACAAGGCTGCTAACAACGAAAGCTGAAAACAAATTTCAAATGTCTTTCTTTTTTTGCCTGTTAGCGCCTGAAAAATACAGCCGCTAATCTGCGTTAATTCCACTTACAATTAGCATCAGCGCCTTGTAAATGAAGGCGTCGACTTTGCGACTGCAAGCTGCGTACTATTTTCATATTTTGCGCCACTTTCTGCATAAACAAAACACTCACCGCAGGTGGGCGTTGGCCTGTGCCCGTTGTTCGTGTCGCAACGTGTAACGGGGTGGCTGCTGGCGGTGGATGGTGGGTGGTGGGTGGTGGGTGGAGTTCCGTTGGGTTTGTCATGGGCCTTGCCACTTAATTAAAATGCGCAACTCTTTACCGGAAATGAGCATTTCAGCTAATGACAAGAGCCTGGGGGCTCTGAGATTTGCACCCGTTCGTATAAATTAAAATAAATCAGCAATGGCAAACAAGAAATTTCTGAGAGCGGAGCCTTGACGAGCTTACTAATACTCTGCAAGCTTGTAGGGCATATTATATTGGTAGACCTAATGGACAACAGACAAGGAAACAGGTTTAACTGATATATTGGTTATTACTTAAAAACTAATCAACATATTTATCTATTCCCAGTGCAATAAAAGCTTAAAGCTGTTGGGTCGTTTAACTTGGTTATTTATCATTGGCGGAAATGTGTTCTTAACTGACGAGGGTATATTCCAAGAAACATTCTTAATGAGTCATACATAAAAGCGTTAGTTAGTCTTATTAGCCGCCAAAATGGGAACGCCTTAACAAAATTTTAATGTTGCGATGGAATTTGCCTAACTACAATTCACAAAGTCGTTTAAGTCTCCTTTTCAAACATTTGCGCCCATTGCTCTAGATGTCTAATTAAAGTGTCGTTTAACTAAAGTAAAGTGCTGCATATATGTTTTGGTTTTCTTTATGTCCGTTTAATGAACATTTAATGTTAAGGACAAAATCAGTTCTTCTTAGTTGCCGCCATTTTAAAAATAACTTTAAAATACTAGGCATGGTTAAAACTGATATTATTAGTATTCAGGTATACTTATGTTAGAGGCAAGTTGACCGATTGGTTTGTAGCCCTAATCTGAGTATCATTAGGTAATTTATATTTTGAGACTGTTATGCTATTTGTCAATCAATTAGTAGGAAATTCAATGGCCAAATCTGTGTGTCTGTGTGAATAAATCATATACTGATAACGACAATCACTTGTTACAATTACGGCTTAATCCATTGGTCATGGGGTCAGCATTAATACCCAAGTACATTGAGAATGGACATTAATACCGCGTTTATTACCTTTAACCGTATTATGATAACTTTAAAAGTGCTCCAGCTTTATGGCAAACGGAGGCTGGGCAATTTATTTGTTGTTTGACCAGGCCAACAATGGCGCCGACTCGCCGCGTTAAAAATGAGAAATGTTTCCAAGGCTATTAAGTGCCCAACTAAATTAACTTTAAGGCGGCAGCCACTTTGATTACATTAAATGGCCGGCGGCTGCGGCTGCCCAAAGGCAAGTGCGTGATATAATGTGAATTCACGAGCCTGAATGCCTCGACGCTGGGACATTCAAGTTGATTAAAATCAAGCATCAAGTAAATAAATCTGCGAGGCATCCCGTTGCACGCCTGGTGTGATTAATTTAAGTGAATGAATCTTGGCCATTTAAATTGTGACGAATCAGTTATCCCCAAAATCTGTTACCTGCGGATATTCCTTTGAATGGAGCGTGTCACCGCGCCCATATCGCATGCACCTTTGTCCCCGGGCTTTCGATTCTCCAGGCGACTGCTGCAGGAGCGTCCGTCCAGCGTGGCATAGATGAGACGACGTGGCATGGCCGTGTGGGATGTTCTCGGCGTTGGTATCTTGGTGCGCTCAGCACGTGGACTCGGCTCGAACCCGGAATCCTGATCCTTGCTAGTGGTGGCCAAGACATCTGTGCCGTCCCTTGACTCCTGTGCATGCTTCCAGTTGCTGCGTGTTTTGGCACCACTGCGCACCCTCTTTTTCAGGCGACGCTTGCGTCCATTGGCCAGTCCATCATAGACTCCAGCGACTGCAGTAGCATCGCTTTTGGCATCCATTTCGCCACTCCCCACTCCATGACGAGTGCTGAGAAATCGACGCAAGGCACTGTCGTGCTCGGGATCAACGTCATCGCCATCATCGATATCGTCATCATCAGCCCCATCATCATCGAATTCCTCGTACTCATAATTGATTTTATCCAGCTCAGAGACGCTGGGCAGTTTGGAGCTGGCTGCTGCGGTGCTATCAGGCATCACTTGAAAGACCTGATTGCCACCACTGAAAGTAACTTCAGGTGGACGCGTTGATTGCTCCACATCACCCATGGAGTCGTCGCTCTTAAGCACTTGGAAGCTCGATTTGCGTTCGGGCTCATCAGAGGCAGGAACAGCAGTTGCCGCTGGCTCATCATCAGCTGAATCAGAAGGCAAAAGCGTAAATGAACGTCGAGATTCCTGTTCCCGTTGTGGTTGCTGCGGGGGAGGCTGCTCTTGCTGCTGTTCCTTCTGCTGCTGGGATGGCAGCTTTTGTTGCGAATTTTTGGGCTCAGCTTGCGGTTTGGTTGGTTGCGTTGTAAGTGGCAATTCTTTTGTCTCACTTTTGGGCTCGGCAGCCGCCGTCGGCACCAGTTTTTTGCCAGGCTCTAACGCGGAGAGAGACGGCTGCTTGATATCTGACTGCGGTTGTTCGGCGGTTGGGAGCTTAGAAACCTCAACGGGCTCAACAGAAGGTGTGGCAGTAGTTACTGCTTCGGCAGGTCCTGTGGGAGCTGTGTCTGTTTTGGTTAAGGCAGCAGCGGAACTGGAATTATCCGTAGCTTCATTTAATGGGAGCTCAATTTGCTCGTCGCTTGCGGATTTGTCCTTTACGGATGCCTCTTCCGTGGAGCTTTTTGACTCGCTGCTTAGTGCAGTGGCAGCTATTTTGATCATCTGTTCGACCTCAGTGGACACCAATTTTGTATCCTCCTCGCTTAACTCTCGCTTGGCATCTTTCGCGACTGGCTCGGGTACGGGAGCCTCTTCGGAAGACTTTGATGAATGCAACTCAGCATCGTGATGGACATCCACTTGGGTTATCACCGACTTGGCTGCTTCCTGCTCCTCATCCGTTAGTTCCATAGCATGGCTCTCTGTCACTTTCAAGCTGTCCAAATCCGCAGCAACTGGCCTCTCGCTTGTGGCACTCTGTGGTGGGGACTTAATGAAGGTGCCCTCTTTGGTAGCCCCGGATGTTTCTGTTGGCATTCGAACCTTGCTGATTGGTTCAGAAGCCTGTTCATTGGCATTATCTGCCTGCTCCTCCTGCATAATGGGCACTTTGTGCTCAATCTGCTTGGGTGATCCACTAAGCTCCTTGCTGTCATTCTCCTCACTTCCAGGCAGCTGCCTGGACCTATGCGATGGTGTCGATCGCTTGCGATGCACCACACGCTGCTTCTGGCGCTTGTGATAGCAGCAGTTCTCGCAGGAGTCCTCATCATCCTCATCATCATCGTTCTCGCCATCGCTGCTGTAGCTGGTGCGGCGTTCTCTGGGCTTGCGTCGGCTTATCTCAATGTTGCTCTTGGAGCGACAAATATCGTTGCACTTCTCGTGCTGGTGCTCGCCACAGCTGTTGGTGCGTCGTCGCAGCTGACGTCGCTTATGGCGTCGACAGATGTGCTCAATCCGTTGCTCCTTGCGATACGATTGCTCTGTGCAGCTGCACTCGGCATCCTGTTCCCCATCCTCATTTTCTATCTGTGACGCGCCATTATCGGAATCAGTGCGTTTGAGATAGACGACATACTTCTTGGAGCTGCGCAAATCATGCAGCTCCTCCTTCTCCACATACTTTAACGGTCGCACCAGATCCGCAGCGTTGGCCTCATGAAATGGATTACCACGTCGCGCTGCGAGTCTCAGCTTACTCGAAGGCTGACCCCCATGGGCCTGCAAAAACTTAGCTGTCGAGCGATGTCCGCGCTGCAGTGCAGCATCAAGCGGCGTCATAACAATGCCCCGCGAATTGCGATACAAGGCATTCACATCGCCACCATAGTCCAAGACCATCTTGCACATGTCCGTATAATCGTTAGCGGCAGCGATATGCAACAGATTCCGGCCATCGTTGCTGGTAGTGTTCACCTGCTTGGGCCGCTGTGACAAAAGCCATTCGAGGAGTTCGCGTCTTCCCGAGGCAGCTGCCTCATGCAGCGGCAGATCACCTTTGGCATTGCGTAGCCAGAGATTGGCGCCACGCTCCTTAAGTAACTTTAACGTCTCGAACTGACCCTTGGAGCAGCCACAGTGGGCTGGTGTGCGACCCTTGCGATCCTGTCGATTCGGATCCGCCTCCAGATCGAGCAGACGCGCAGTCGCATCCGCATGCCCCAGTGTCACCGCATAATGCAACGCCGTGCAACCGTTGGAGTCAATGAGATCTGTGGGTGCACCGCACAGACTAATTAGCGTATCAATGCATTCGGTGTGACCACGCGAGCCGGAACAATGCAGTGCAGTAAGGCCATCCCTGAAAGGCACAATAAGGAAGCAGAAAAAATGTATATACATTTGTAGTAAAAATAAGGTTCAATAAAGCTAATCACACTCATATGTATATATAGTATAATATAAATGAATATATGTAAATATATATTTAATTAACAAGCTGTCATTTACAATATAATCACTTGTGCTGCTTTTACTTTGGAAAATAATTGAATTTTGCTTGATGTTTATTAATATAATTAAAAACAGAATCCTGCAGAAAACACGCTTTAACTCGTTACTCAAATCGTAAAAGAATTGTATAAATATAAATAAACAGATAAACAGTTTGTCTAATATTTATATATATACATAATAAATGACTTTATCAGAATGATTTGGAGCTGGTGATGAGTTGAAACTCACTTATCGGCACTCTCCACACGTGCACCCGCCTTTACCAGGGCAATGACTGCCTTGGCCGAGCCCGCAGATGCGGCCCAGAGCAGCGGTTGGCGGCCGTCTTTGTCCTGAACATCGACGCTGGTCTGCGGATGGGCCAAAAGAATGCCAATAATTTCCAGAGCCAACTTGCTGGAATTGGACTGCAGCTTGCTGTCATAGCTGGCGCCGCACATTTGGGCCGCATAGTGAAGCGGAGTGCCACCATTAACATCGGGCTTGGCGACTCCAGCACCGGCTGCCAGAACTGCGCGGAGTGCCTCGATTTCGCCACATACTGAAAGCGGAGAGTGAGTCTGTTAAGTTGTATGTGTTGAATGTGCGAATGGGTCGCTTACCCGTTGCCCAGTGCACCACAGAGTGACCTTCATTGTCCACCGCATTCACATCGGCTTTGTTCGCTAGCAGCAAATTGACCATCGCCAAGTTGCCCTGAATAACAGCCAAGTGAAGCGGCGTGAAGCCATCTTCATCCGCCGACTCCAGCAGCTCGGGAGCTGCAATTGCAATGCTTGCGGCAGCCACGAGGTCGTGCGTCTGCTCCAAATCCTGCGCGGCACAATAATGCAGCGCGTTGCGGTTGCTACGGTCACGTTGCCGCAACAGTTGGGGCTGCAACAAAAAAGGAAAAAATAAAAAGTTGAAATATGTAAGGAGTGCGACCGAGACAGAGTCAGAGAGTGAGAGACTTACTCACTTGTTCCCACTTAAATATGCTTTGAATACGTTATTCATTCATTCATTTCGACTATGTATGTCTACGTTATACAATTAATTATTGCTCAATATTCAGTTGCAGCAAAGAATGCTAGTGATGCAACTGCAACAGCAGCAATTAAAAATAAACTAATTAAAATGTCATTTGCATGCTGCGAATAATGAGTATTGTATGCAGAGAGAGTAAAAGATATGCTGTGTGACGGAGAGGGAGAGGGAGTATCTCTCGCGGCATATAGCTGATTTATAAACTATATAATTAAAAATACCGTTAATAGCCAGTTCAGGTATCAAACGAGCACAAAATATACATATATCTGTATATGTATATGTACACTTTCAGCCAAGTCTTTGCTGTTTTTTCTTGTTTACATTTTTTTTCATCGCCCATCAGTTTTGCTTATTGTAATTTATTTGTGTTAATATTAATTCAAAAATTCGACTTTATTGCTACTGCTGGCATTGGCAGCCTGTGTGAGCGCATTAATTGAATTTTTATTTTGCACAAAATTGTTTGTATCGAGTTTGCACTTGATAATTAAAGATATTTTCACGTTTATCACGTGCGAATTCTGCACTGCTGTAGATAATTGCAAAATTACTTTTCATATGCCGCCCGTCCACGAGTGTTGCTTGTTAGTAACTAAAGCAACAATGGCCACAACCAACGGCAACAAAAATAAACAAAACAAATACAGCGGTTGGCAGTTGGCGTCGCTTGGAAAGTGCAAGTGCCGCTAACCGTTGCACTTGGCAACGTGGTGAGTTACACCTTGCAACGCACACTCAACACACACTTCAGCCCTAAACAAACGTGGTGTATTTCGATTGCCGGCAACTGCAATTACCAAATTCACATTGGCCATTTTGGCGCGCAGCACGACATCGAACTCCAATGGGCTGGCGAACATTTTGAAGCGAGCACTTCTCCAGCGACGCGTCGCCTTTTTCCGCGTGTCAAAACATGTCAAGTGCACAGCAAACACTGTCGTCACCATCGAGAACTATGTTACAACTTTGCCACGCCGCTGACTCAAAAAGTTCGCATTGCGACGACGGCAACTTCAACGGCAGCAGCAGCAGCAGCAGCGGCAACCACACGCAAACCCAAAAAAAGAAAAAAACATAAAAATAAAATGCTGAAGTGAAAAATTGGTTAAGTCATCGACTCTGCGCCAATTTACACGTGAGCCGACTTATAGTGGGCCAAGTTAATGAACCGAACGCAGTAATTCTCTCTCGTTCTCTTCGCCATCCATGCGGCACACGTTTAATATTTATGAGCAAAGCTTCGAAAGTAATTTATACTTCAAAAATACACTACCTACTTATTGATACAACTTATTTCAATCTTGAAAGAATCCAGTTCAAACAAAAAAAACTGTTAGATGTTTGACCAAAAAGGTTTTCAGCTTCAAACTTCTCTGATCTTTGGCTGATTTGCTAGATATTCATTTCCAATGAATGGGTCTGAAGATGAATTACAGAGTATACCAAATATATATGTATATTTCGGTAGCTAAGAAGTTTTGGTCTATTACGCTCCGTTTGGCGTGTATTTATCTTTGCAGTCAAGCAGAATGATTGAATGTGTTGCTTTTCTAACCAGCATTCAATTTTTGCAAAGCATTTTAAGCACGTTCCTCTCTATTTTTATCAGGCGCAAAACCATCGCGTGACTGTCAGCGGGACAAAGGACTCGATTTGGTGATTCGGGGGCGACAAAGAGGAGCTGTCATGTGTACCTCGTTGCTCGGCAGAAAATGCCAAATATCGTTCCAGTTCAATTTATAGCGCATTTAACTAAGTCAACAAATAGTTCGATAACTGTCGAAAAACTAAGATAAAAACTCTGCCGGCAAGAAAAACAAAACAAGCCCCAGCAAAAGTGAAACTAAAGCTATTAGAAATTTGCGTGTTTCCAATGGCAAGCAGGGTCATAAATGGTGGTATAAGGGGCTCGGGGAAACGTAGGAAGTTCATAAAGTTTATGTATAAGAATGTTGTCTTTAGTTAACCAACTAAATTTATTTAAGCATGGGAAAGTTTGTCAATGAAAACATTATTTAAAGTTTTTGAAATTCAATACAAATCAGTTTGTGAATCAACAAAGAAACTACGAAATTTTGTTTTCTTCCACTTTGTAAATTTAAAATAAATATTTTAAAAAATTATTGGCACAACCATTGCCAAAGTAAATATAGTTAGCAGTTGAAAATATATTCAGACTTACGACTTAACATTTACCCTCTGAAATGACTCGGATTAATTTAAATTCAGTCTGGATTACAGCTTGAGGTGTTCATCAAATGGCTTTAAAATTGCCTTCATCAGTGAACCACAATATAAAACAGATTGCACAGAATTACATTTTTCTCGTAAATACCAAATATTACTATATAGTAGTCACATTTCACGGATTTCGGTAAACACAGCAAAAATGCTAATAGCTCATCACAATTTAGACCCTTGTTGAATCCGATTTTCTTTTCTTTTTTTGAATTTGTTGTTTCGATAATATTTTCGTTGATTGAATCAAAATTGTTTTCAAGTTTTTGTTGCGTTTGTTTTGCGGATACAAAAAAAAAAAAAAAAAAAATAAGAAGCAAAGAATAATAAGAAGAAATTTACATTGCGATTGGCACAATAAAGTATTTACAATGAGTTTTATTTGCCGCTATTTCCGTTATCTTAGTGTCCCTTTCACAGTGTCCTGGCCATATCGGAAGCCTTCTCTGTTCCTTATAGCGAACCTCCGCTGCCAGTCGGATTATGAATAATTCAAATAAACTGAAATGATACCTAAAAACTTTGACAGCGAGCTCGCTCAGCTGGTATAAAGAAAGAACGAAGGGTCACAGCTGGCTGGGGAGGGGCGGACTTAACGCAGCATCAAATAAAGTTCTCGTGTTGCTGTTGTTACTGCTGTGGGAGCTGTTGCCTTTGTTATTATTACGATGATGGTTGGTATGATTGTTGCCTCTGCTGTCATTTCATCCCCAGTCCCGCCGCAACTGCTCTTGGTTGGTGTCATGCGAATTTGCATTTAACTTTCTACGTTTGCCAACACAAAATGAAATGCGATAATCAAATACGTCCAACAACAATGCAGCAGAAGCAGCTGGTTTGCAGCCCACCCACCCCCTGCTCCTCCTCCATTTTCAACCCAATTCAGTCCAACGTTGTTTGCATGAACTGAGCTAAGATAAAAGTTCGGCATTGCGAGTTGCCCATTCATGGCAGGGCTTGGTCAGGCGAGCACCCTGTATTGTTGCTATTTATGCCATTTTAATAGTTTCCAAAACAAATAAAACATGCCCAAGCCACATTAAAGCGAAGCCACCAAACCAACAATAATAGCAGATATAAAGCAAAGATACATCGCGAAATTTCCCTTAAATTGTTCAACATTACATTAGTATAACGATTTCATACCGATACCAATTGTTAGAGCATCCTGCAGATGTTAAAAAAAAATACACATTTGTGTTTTTAATTTGATATAGGTGAACTTAACAATATGGAAAACAATTGAACACCATATACAACATTTTGTTAAACATATTAACAGAATAAATGAACTGAAAATTAAATGAAATTCAATTAATTTAGATCCTAATTTGGTTCTCGTTTCAGTTAATTGCGATTTGTATTTCTATATATATATTATAATATATTCCTAATTGCATAGAAATACATTTGCATGAATTGAAATATATGCACGTACTCGACAGAGCTTACGCTTTAATTGACTCAGTTAGTCAACTGGGTCAGAGTATCGTAGTTTACCTGATTAAGAGAAAAATACGCTGGGGCATTAAAAATATGCGCCACAATTTATGGCTCATAGCAATCAGATGCAACAATGAAAGAGTTGCACGAAGTCAGCCATAAAACTTCACAGATTTTATAGCATCTGATTTCAGGACGCTCAGCAGAGGTTAAGCCTAAGCCAAAGATGGGTAGTAGCTCGACGGATTTTAAGCATTTCCGGCTGGAAAAAAATCCGACAACTATACTTCAACCATGCTTTTGGAAGATTTACTTTTGAAGCTATGGCATTTGCATAACTCGAACGTTTGCACTTCCTTAGTCACTACTCCTTGGGGAAAGGAGTGGCAGGCGCTGGGGGAGGTAGGGGAGGTAGGAGGCCGCATCAAAGCTGGATAACCCTTATTATTCATATATCGTATTCCATTAGCATAACAATGAAATGGAGTTGTCCAGCAGAAGGGCCGCAAAAGTCATAGGCCTTTGAAATAATATATTTGGCTATGACGCATACGACATGGTGTACCCATACATTTTATTGTTTTCACGCAGGAAGTGCGTACACATACATATAAATAAAGCATAAATAATAATGAAAGAAGACAGCAGCAGCAGCAGCAATACAAGCAAAAACAGAGAACATAAGACGCAGAACGAGACAGAGAGAGTGTGAGTGAGAGAATGGAGAATGGAAAATGGTGAACAGGGGCACACACTGACATGATAATGCATAAAAAATAAAATACATGCTTGGTCTGAATGCCGTGAAAGGGCACAAAATAGTATGCGGGTAGGTAGGCAGGCAGGCAGGCAGGCTGGCAGGCTGTAAGAGCAGGGATCAGGGGAATAGGGGTAGCGAGAGCCGACTGTATCCAAGAGAACATGAACCGAGAATTCGACTTAACGCTTCGTTGGCCAACACATCCGCCATAATTATGTGTGACGCGACAGCAGAATGGCACATTAAAAGGCCAGGATAGGGTAGAACAGGGCACAACTTACGAAACTTTGCCGGCTAGTTCAGTTCAGTTCAGTTCAGGAAAACCACAGTCGTATTTTCCTGTAGGAAATGGGCAAGCAAAGCCAAACAAATCCCAGTCGCAGACATATACACACACACACATTGAATGTGCCCGGAAACTGTTTGCAAGCGCCTTAAGGTCGCCATTTGGCCCCCGTGTGGCCTGCTTAAGATGTCAAGTGACCAGCAGCAGCATCAGCAGCAAGCATTGCCCACTCAATGGTAATTTTATGCGCACAATACGTAATTCATATGTTAATCACATTCAGGCCAGGCCAAGCAACCAACTTGCCAACAATTCAGCCAGCCAAGCTAGTTTCGAGCTGAGTTCCTAATTAATGCAAGCGACTAAATGCGCAGGTATCTTTAACTGAATCACAAAGACACACACATACATACCTACATATATGTATTCAGTACAACGTCCTTAATATTGCCGTCTTAGTGATGCTAAGCAACGCCAACGACGCTGTGGGCAGAGCCTCGTCTCAAGCAGCCGAACAACAACAAGAACAATAACATCAGCAACTATAATTTACATGCTTAGCAGACAATGCACAACTGCCAACGAAAAATGCTCAACGTAGTGGGGTTGGCGGAGGTCTTTGGCGAAAGACAGGTCTTTAACTGTTGTTGTAGCACCTTTTATACTTCTAATTAGTGCCACGTTGGTAGCTGCAACAAGAACAACAGCAACAACAGCAACAACAATGGCTGCATGCACTGCAGCTAATGTGGCTTGAATAGCTGCCTTTGTTGTGGCTGTCTTGGTGCTAGACTTCACATCAACCTCGTGCTTCAGTTACAGCGCCCCTCAACAGGAGCAGACAGACATCGGGCAGAGCAGGAAGCAGAATCCGGCGGTGCTGCGCAGCATTCTTAAGTAGTTTTGGCAATTATTTACAGCTACTTTGCCAGCGGGAGAAGCAGCAGAAGCAGCATCTCCGATCCGCTCTCGACTTAAGGTTTGCCACACGGATTATTATTATTATTATTATGCAGCAGTGTGTGCCGCGCTCTGGTCTCTATAGTTCAACTTTTTGCATAGTTTTTATGCCTTGCAACGGATTAACAACAGCGGCCAACTTTCATTTTAATTCTGCAAACTTTGTTCGACGTCGTGC